GTGCAAACGTTTCAGATTTCAGGATTTTTGGGGCGAGTGGCGGTGAAACAAAAGCGTTGTTGAACCTTTCTGAAATGTTTCTTCATAGAAACCCGCGCGGCTAACATTAGCATACGTAGCGTTAGCGCTGCTGTGTTGTGAATGCAGACGCACGCTGCATCTGGCGAATATTTGAATGCAAACCGTTGTCGTCATCGTGTTTGTGCGCTTGAGATGATTCAGTTGTGATCTTGTAACTGTGGCAACTAATGCGGCTAAATGACTATTTTTAAACACTGTGTGTGTTCAGAAAGCCGCAGTAATTGCTGCTTTTAACCAGAGGACAACTATGAACATTTAGAGGCACTTACGGTTAAGCGCGTGTGTGTGCGTGTGTGTGTGTGTGTGTGTGTGTGTGTGAGCGCGCAGGTCATTTCTCCCAATGAACCAATCATGCAGACAGCTGGAGACACGATGAGACTGATGTCTCTCTCTCTCTGTCTCTCTATGTCGATGGTAATGGAGACAATTTCAGTCCAGTCTCGTCCTCCGACTCTCATTCATTGTTCAGCTCAAAGGCAAACCGGGACGCGGCTCTACGTCCCGTCTGAGTGGAATCAAACATTCATTATTCATGTTTGCACCGAGTCCGCGTTGTCGCACTCTAATCGGGTTAAAGTGAACTTACCTCGGATCTTTGTGCGACTTGATAAACAACGTGACTAACAGCGGTTACGTGAAGGTCCTTTAAAGCGAACACCAAAGGGTCGCCGCGGCCTCCAGCGTCCCCCCTCGAGGTTTTCAGACCCGTCCTGTTTAAATATATCTTACCCCCCCTTTCCCAGATCTGGAGCACAGCCTTTGATCTAAACGCAGAGCGACAAAATCAGATGTTGTGTGATTTCCTCCCGTTGAAATGCAGGCCGGGAAACGACACAACAGCCGCCGCGTTGCACGTGGAGCGAGACGCGCTTTGTCCTCGTGGAATCAGCAGCTTCCCCGAAACACCTCTCAGGGACACGGCGACGGGAGCCATTCTTCACCGCGTGTCAGCAGACCCCCGTTTTACGCAGCGATGCGTCGCAGCAGCTCGCTCTGTCGGGATCGTGGACCCCTGCTGTTTGTGCCAATTTCTCAACCCACTGTCAGCGTGTTCGAGCAGAAACCAGCGCCGCTGCGATGGTCGTGGCCACGTCTCGGTATCCTCTCGGGGGCTGTTTGATCTCATCGCTCCTACAGAGCAGATCTGCTGTGTGGAGAAGGTCCCCCCCCCCTCATGGCGGCACAACGGGACGGAAGGAGTAGGAAGTACCGCTGTGTTTGCCGCCGATGTGCGTTCGTTGTGACAAACAGTTACTTTCACGTTAGCAGACGTGGTCAATTGACCTGTCAATCAACACGCTGGAATGTTGATCAAAGTGGCTTTAAAGCTACAGGAAACGATCTCTGATCGACTCGTTCTTCTACTCTGATCGTATAATGGAGAAAATTCTGCGTGTGTCGCATATCGGCCAAGTCCATAATCCGGCTCCGCAGCCAGACGGATGAGTGACGAGTCCAATTAAGCCGGTCCAAACCAGAACGGATGAAATTGGAGAGAGAGAGAGAGGGGAGGGAAAGGGGGAGAGTCGTCTGGTGAGACAGAGGAAAGGATGAAGGGTGGAGAGCCACGGGAAGGAAACAACCAACCGCCCGCGGCGGCCCCAGGTGGGAGGCCGGTAGAGAGGGAGAGAACAACCCTAAAGGAGGCGGAGCAGGAGCAGGTTTGGGGGAGGCGGGGGGGGGGGAGGGGGGAGGTTGCCCCCAGGTCCTTCCTCTCAGCAGCACTAATTTTAATTGGCTCGTTAAGAAGATGTGGGATGCTTCCTCTTGATTGGTCGGGTAGGCAGATGATGCCCGCAGAGACAGGAAGTACCGAAGGGGGCGTTTAAACTTTTACCGCACACACACACACACTCGAGTCTATATTCACATGCATGAGTGTGTCTGTGTGTGTGTGTGTGTGAATTATTATAGTTAGTACACACATCGAATGGGGCACAATGAAGACACACAAGCGGGCGCAAAACTACCCCGAGTACACACAGGGAAGTTTTATTTTTAACTCTCCCACACACACACAGATAAGGTCATTCATGCATGCGCCGTAGTTTATTAATGAAGGGAGAGACCAAACATCTTCCTGCAGGGCTGTAACATCAGTGTGTGTTTGCGTGTTTGTGTGTGTGTGTGTGTGTGTGTGCGTTGCTGCTACAACATAAAAATACTTGTACGTTGAAATGTGTGTGTGTGATAAAAAAGCTTTTAGTTTGCTGACTGTCAGACTCAGAGACACACACACACACACAGCTAGTTGTGTGACCTCTCTGCCAATCAAGCTCCCTCGATCTCGAGGATGAAACCGTCCACCAGCATCCAGAAAGTCTCAGTGTCCCCCGAGTCGTCTGTCTCTCTGCTCCTGTCCTCTCAAAGCTTCAACCTCGTGTCCCGTCAAATGAATAGTTGTCTTCCTTCTCAGTCATTTGATATTCGCTGACTACGTGGTCAGAGACCCCCCCCCCCCCAGAAGCACTGTAGGTGGGACCTACAATGTGATTGATGATGTCATTTTGCAGAAGGGAGTCAAAAGACGAAGGTGACGCATATCTTCAACAGGACTGCGCCTCGTGCACTGCGGTGAGTTGGCTCCTTAGCAGCTCGCTCCACACGCGTGTCCGAGTAGCAGCGGACAGCACACGGATATCAAAGTTCACGTCGGAAGCTCTCCGCCTGTTTCTGCTGTCGCGTCCCATCGAAGGAGAAGAGAGAAACCACAATAATAAAAGAACACATGGGGGAACACGATGCAAGGGAGGGGACAGGTGGACGGGCCGGGGACGGTATGATGGAGGGGGATGACGGAGCGAGGGGGGGGGAAGCGAGAAAGGCGGAGGCTGAATGTAGGAAGCAAAGCGGTGACTCACCTGGTGCTGGAACGCTACCTGTGTCTAATGAGCGTCTCTGCGGGGGCCTCCGGCCTTCTGCTGAGACCCGTTAAAGACTTTTTTCGACATCCTCATATCACAGGGAAATCATTTTTTTAACCACCGCTGTAAAAGTAGAGACTGGTGGGTTGTCACGACAAGTTTTAATGGCATGACACAAAGAAGAAGCCCGAATTTATCTGAAGATAATAAGGAATTCACACAGTGTTTGTATTATTTATATAACTCACCTATTTAAATTGCATTAAGACTTAAACATATGCCCAATTATATGCACGGTGAGTGACAGGTGGGTTCTTTGTCAGGTCAGTCAGTGAAGCCTGGAAGGGCGAAGGTGAAAAGGTCAAGGCCGGCTTTAGGGCTTGAGGGCGGGCGTGATGCTTGTTTAGAAATGGTAATTGCTTCCACCATCACGGCCCCCCACGCTGCCAGTGGGAGGAGTCTCCAGCCCCACCTTCACATCACGGGATGCGTGTTCGAGAATCGAACACGTTCGTACACGTTCCAAGCGCCTCGCCGTGACAACACGGGTTGAATGGTTCTTTAAATCTCGGTGAGCTGAGTTGACTCTTCCGGCAGAGGTCCAGAGCACATGGCTGCCATGGCAACCAGGCTGCCCCCCCCCACCCCGCCGCCGCCGCCGCTGCCTCGTAGCGAGCGCACAAACGCACACGGAGAGATGCGCGGACACACACTGCGGCCCCCGAGGCTCCTCCGGTTCACACTCGATTGCCGGGGGTCAGGCGGGAGGGGTCAGCGGGGAGGAGGTGTGCTGGGCGACTGGTTTCCCACGAGGCGTCGATCTGAGGCAGTTCTCCCCCCGTCGTGCTGCTCTGCTTAATCCGCAAACCACCCGGCTCACCCTCCAGATGTGCCACAGTAACTAGTCTGCATGTGAGCCGATTAAGCAGTTAACGGCCCACGTATCAGCTGTTATTACTGGCAAAGACACGCACACCAAAACAACACCACGATGTTCACCCTGGTTTCCATCTACGACAAGCAGAAAGCAAACAGGAGAAAAGAAGGAACCGAATGAAGGAATGAAAAAGTCACCCTCTCTCTGCTTCCGGACTCCAAGCAAATGTAAGAGATTTAAATAATACGTTTTTCATCACAAACCATTTGAAGACACCAAAATCAACAATTGGAGACCCGATCCCCCGGATCCTCTCCGTTCCCCGCATTTGGCATTCGGCTGCAAACTCAAGACGTGAAACTTTAAAAAACGCCCCCACAAATACGGTTCCATCTTTAGCCTGCGAGCACAATCCCTCTTGGCAACGCCGCTGGTTTGATGACAGAGCCGTGATACGGATGTCCGTCCCTCCAGAGTCCTCCGAACACGTCTCCTCTAGTGGCACGACGACATTTGTGGTTTTGTGAAACATCTTTAGATGTCTGGATTTTAAGGCAATTAGGCTCGGATGTCCACGCTCCCCTCAGGAGGAACTGTAATAACTGGTGTAATAACTTGTGTAATAACTGGAGACTGTTTCTGTGTTTGTTCACATCAATAAAACATGGAAATGTTTTTCTTCTGCCTCGGGCACATCGTGTGATTCCGCCTGCAGAGCGACACAGCCGAGGAGGTGAGAAGGCGCGAGCTGTCGTAACACATCGGCTCCTCGCCGTCCACGACGAGCACCCGGACGGCGTTGGAGCCGCGCTGGTGTCCCCGGCTGTGTCCCCCGAGGAGAGCGAGGACACAGCGAGGGGGGCGGGGCCTCCAGGAGACAATCAAGGTCAATATTTCAGCCAAACGTTTGGCCTCTGGTCTCATTTTCACATTCAAGTCTGCATCTGAGGAGGAATACGTGTTTATGGTGTCACGTTAATAACAAACTCGGTCCTTGGGTGTGTGTGTGTGTGTGTGTGTGTGTGTGTGTGTGTGTGTGTGTGTGTGTGTGCGGATCCAGGGGACGAAGAGAGGAATTAATCACGTGTTTAGAACGTGTGAGGTCAGACAGTGTGTGTGTGTGTGTGTGTGTGTGTGTGAATCCTCGCGTGGGTCAAACACACTCGGGACAAAACTCCTCTCAGTGAAAATACAATTTTTATTTGTACATCGAGCCGTCATCGCCTGGGAAGCGTCCGGTGAGATTCCCGCTGTTTTTTGTTGTGTGTTTGTGCGCGTGTTGTGTTGTGTATTTGAAGGCAGCACAGACGAGGTTCTAACCAACCAGCCGGAGGCACAATTCCCTTAATTCAAACCGGCCATCGGCATCACCTGGCGAACGTCGTCCAAGCCGATGTTACATCCAACAAACAGGAACTACAGCGGAAAACGGCAGCGCTCATATTCAGTCAAAATGTCTTTTGGTATTTACTTTGATTTTATTTAAAGGAGGAAATAGCATCTCCTTTTTTGGTGACTGCGCTTGATTGACAGCAGCTGACAAGCTGCATTAAAAAAAAAAACCTCTTCTAAATGACAAATGCCGTAAGCAGCATCAAGTATGAAACAGTTGATTTTATTTGCGGTACGTTGAACCACTTTCACCTTTAAACAAGCTCTTAAAGCACTGCGGCAAAAAAACACCATCCCTCCTTTACAATTCTATCAAAATCAACTGATCGAACCCTTTTATAGTTTACAGCTGGTTGACCTATGACTGGTTTCGTGCCCCCTGACCCTTGAAGAATTTATGTAGCTAATTTATTTAGCTCATTGTGGAAAAAAAGGCTCCTAAACGAGAATCTAATGTAAATATAAAACATTGCACGACAAAGTTTGACTTAAACTGCTTTTACGGTCTGAGCAGCAACAAAAAAAGTCAAAATGATATCTCTGCCATGTTGGAGAGCGCCTCAGTAATAACCTGCACACTTTAAAGGGTTGTGACGTGTCAGAGGCCATTTAAACCGCCAATCAGCAGGGAGATGAAGAACTGCGGGACGCGAGACCGTCGTTATCAGTCCCATCGTGGGATACGCGAGGTGGACCGGGTCCGAGGGTCCTTTCTTAGATGCTCTTCGGGGACTGTGCGGTCGATTATGCTTTTTGTTTGCACTCTACATTTGGGGCCAATCGGTATATTCTGTAGGAACAGTTTGCGGTTTTTGAAGCGCGAGGGCCGCGTTGTGCGCTGTGAGCAAAGCGACGTCAGCGGTGCACTTCTCCTCAACACGACCTGTGAGTTCTATCATTCTAAGACTCACAGAAAAACACTTTCATTTCAGCTGCAAGAGACAAACAAATCAATTCTATCTCAGGTGGACGACAGATAAATGTGAACATGGTGACTGCAATACACATAAATTACTCCCTTTTACAACTATTTCAAAAGTGCAGAGGCCCCAAAAAATGTCATGGACTTAAAGCTAATCAATGGCACTTCTCTTAATCAACTGAATTGATTCATCGTGTAGATTCGCCTCAGACGGGATCAATGTCTGAAAGGAATCTCCACAGTAATTATCAACATGTGATAAAAGACGGCGTGAAGTTAGTCGGTACATTTCCACTCAAGACGTTGCTCAGCTAACGGACACACACGGGTACGCACACACACACACACATACACACATACACACATACACACACACGTGTACGCACACACACACACCACCAATCTTTTGAATATTTAGAACTTGTCGCTGCATTAAGCCGCAGCACGCTATCATATAAAAGAAAATAAATATGTACACATATTTAGATCAGTCGACGTTGGTCATTTTCGGCCTGAAAGGTGTCGAACCACGTTGAGCATTCAGACAAACAGCCTTCAGGCCGTTAGCGTCACCTGGTCTCCATTTCTCAGGATGATCCTGGACCTCGTTATAATAAATTTGCCTTTTGCGTCGCTGCCACTCACAGAGGAAGAAACCTGCTCAAAGCGCTCAGAGTGTGTCCTGGTTTTTGCCGCTGGAATAAAAACCTTGAAAAGCAGGTTTTCGTAAGACTCAAGATCCTGTCGGAAGTACACGCGTGTGGCGGTGTGATTTATTTTTATTGATCCCTGTAGCGGCGTCCACAGAGGTCACAGGTCAGGGTCGGATACAGCATCTTCGGACCTACAGTGAGCGTTCAGCTCTTTACCGGCCCGAGAAAAGGTCCGTTTCTCACCACTCTCCATCCCGCCGCTCGGAGACAGCGTCTTTGAAACCGCGCTTGAGTCTTTTCCCTCGTCCTCGTCCTTCCGCTCAGCGTCCCTCAGAACCGCGTCTCCGAGCTGCCCCTCTTCAGCGCGCCGCTGTTGAACTCGTCGCGCTCGAAGCTCAGATTGTTATGCGACCTGGAAATCATCAGCAGCTTCTCCCGCCGGCTGTACTCCCTCCTCGCCGCCGCCGCCGCCGCGTCCAGCAGCCGCTCCCCTTGCTCTTCCCTGTCCTCCAGCCGCTCGTAGCCTTTGCTGCCGCCCCGGTTGCCCCCGTTGCTATGGGTACTGTTGCTACGGTCGAGGCGGGGCCAGCTGGGGTGCTTGCGCTGCTCCGGGTGCACGCTGAGCACGCTGGGCCTGCGCTCCAGGTCCAGCGACTTGGAGTGGCTGCCGAGCATGTGCAGGGAGGAGTTGGAGCCGAAGTCGCTCCTCGCCGCCCCCGGGGAGAGCCAGCAGCCCGAGGTGGAGGAGGGGGCCGGCGAGAGGCAGTGGGAGGAGACGGAGGAGCACTGGGAGGACGAGGAGGCGGAGTTGCTCCGCTGCAGGCCTGCAGGCGGTTTGGAGGCCTTGGCAGCGGACGCCACGGGAACCACCAGAGACTCCGTGGAGCTGAGGGGCCGCGACCTCTCCCCGTCCCCGCGCTCCCCCGCCCTCTCCTCCTCGGTGATCGCCTCCATCTCCGGCTCGTCGATAACGCAGTTGTTGAGCTTTATGACGGGCAGAGTGAACGCAGAGATGGAGGAGGAGACGATGGAGCGCGCGTGGTGTCCTCCCCTCTCCCGGTCTCCCTCCACGGACCACTGGTGGCGCAGCGGGTCCGGCCGGGCCCCCCTGAGGGGCCGATCCCTGTAGAGGGGCGCCAGCAGCCCCGCGAAGCTACAATCCAGCTTAGCCTGCCCGCCGCGTCCGCGGCGCTCCTCGTCCCCCAACAGCACCTCCGCCTCCTCCGCCTCCTCCTCCTCCTCCTCCTCCTCTGCGGACCCTTCGGCCCGAGAGGAGAACGCCAGCAGGGAGTTGCCCGCCAGGCGGGCGGCGTTTTCCGCCCGCAGTTCGCCGACCTCTCTGGCATAAGCGCTGTCGCGCAGCTGCTGCTGCTTCTGCTCCCGCCGCCGGAGGCGATGGATGTCGATGACGGTGGAGTACATGTCTCGCATGTGGATGATCTACAGCGGAGGAGGAATACGTCGTTAGTAATGGGACAAGGTTTACCCGAGAACACCTTCAATATTACATTATAAGATGATTCCATAGGACGGGACTTGCATATTTCACATGGATTACCGGGTGAGGAAGGAGGGACGGGTGAATCAAATCAATGGGGGGGAGAAGGAGTAAGAGCAGAGCCAATGTGATCAGCGAGCAGGCGGTGCGGCGATAGGGAAGGAACGAGGTCGGCAGTAATGTGATTTACATGTTACTTGTGTGCCGGGGATGAATATGGACGACTGCTCTGTGCTCGCCCTTCCTTTGGTAGCGAGTGGACGGAAGAGCTGAGATGAGAATACGTCATTGTGGAGGAATATTAACGACACCTTCTATTGACGCGGGTTTTGTGTTTTTTGGAATTGAAAAACCTCGTTTGAAATTGGCCTTTGAAACCTTTTGTTTCTGATCTGAACTGTTCGTCTTGTCCAGTATTTCGTTTCTCTGGAGACAGTGAGACGGGGTCTTTTCCTGCCTACCTTAGTTTCTCTGTCTCGGTTCTCATGCAGTATTGCGTTGGCACAGATGAAGATGAAAATCCCGATGCCCATGGTGAAGGGCCCGAACATCTTCATCCGCTCGGAGTGCCGATGCTGCTCCAGGAACCGCGTGAGAGCGCCGGCGGTGCGCTTGGAGATCGTACCTGTTGACCAGGAGACAAACCGACTCCATTAAAGCCTTAAAGTCCTTCCGCCGGGGCGTTTAGGTCACTTCTCGTCCCTTCGCTCACTCACCTCGCACGTCGTGACCCGTGCTGGAGGCAGCCGCCGCGTCCCCGTCCGCCACGGCCGCCTCGTCTCCTCCTACGGCGGACGCTGTCCTCGGCCCTCCTCCTCCTCCTCCTCCTCCTCCTCCTCCTCCTTCGGGCGGCGCTCTGTGAGGCCAGTAACCCAGCGTCGCCATGGCGATCCCCGCGGCCAAGATGACCAACCCCAGGAGGAGGAAGAAGCCGGAGGCCGAGTAGAGGCGGAGCCTGCCGCGCACCACCACGACATCGGTGCGCCGCTTCCGCTTCCTGAGCGGAAACAGACACGGCGGCGTATGTTTAGAAAAGGCATCCGCACGGGCTGTGACGCGCCACCCTGTCACCAGTACAATACACCAGTGTAATATGATTACCTGGGGGCAGATTCCGGGGCGGAGCCTCCCGGGCCAGGCGCCGCGGACGGGGGCCGGTGCTGAGAGCGGGCCGAGTCCTGCCGCTTGAGCTTAGCCAAGCCGGTCAGCACACCGGCTGCTGCAGTCATACTTAACCTGCAGATACACACAAGCCATGAGGTGAACACGCCCCGCACACCTGCTCTGCTCTGCTCTGCGTGTGTGCATGCATGCGTGTGTGTGCATGCATGCGTGTGTGTGCACTGTTGCCAGGTGATGCACGGCCGTGTGTTTTGATCCTTTACACTGGTGAGGAGGCGCGGATCCACTCACACTGAGATGGCCGAGGCCTCCCGGGCGCTGCGTGACACAGTAACGTGACACACTCAGCTCAGAAAGATAAGTTTGTCGTCCTCCCTCGGAGGAAGGGACGACCTCGCAGACTTCTGGGAAGCCGCAGGTGATTTCCCGTAGAAGTGTGTCACACTTTCAGCGTGGTTTTGAGGAGAAAGGCAGCGACAGACGCGAGCACAGCCTGCACACCCCCCGCGCGCGTGTGTGCGTGGAACCATTTTCACAGAAAGTTTGTTTGCTGCATCCTCGAGATGCTCAGGAAGCGAGATGACGGGACGTATTACAGCAGAAGGAAACCCGACACACCTTGAACACTGATTCAGAGCCGTCACGTACGGGGGGGTTTCTGACACTGGTGTCGTTATTACGCTGGTGTGGCAGTCATACATTTGGAATTACAGTGCTGCAATTATGACATAATATGAATATGAATCCTAGTCTCTCTGCTCACCAGCTGCTCAGATGTCTATTAATAGTTCTTAAAGGAAAGAGGGTATAAAACAGACACAAGCGCCTTCATTTGTTTTTAAATGCCTGTTAATCTGGGCTCACATGAACATTAGCATTGTGCCGCTTAGCTCTAAGAGGATTAAACAAACCATTACTTGATGTGGAATATAATAAGTTTGAGGGCTATTTCACGTATTTCCTCTTCAAAGACAATTCTGGCAAACTTACATCACTGCTGCAGATTAATTGACTGTTTTTCTGCTTCGGCACTCAAACAATCAGAGGGGGAAAAACTACCGCGACTCGCTCGCTAACTGCAAAGCCGACGGCCTTTTGCGCGTCGTTTCTTTAGCAAATCCTTTGCCAAGTCTGTCTCATCTGGTTCATTCTTTCCGTTAACTATTCCGGTTGTATTGAGGAGAAGTTGATGACGCTGCGTCGTTGTTGTCGTCGTTGTTGCTGTGATTAAGAATTTATTCTGTGTGTTTGAATGTCGTACCAAAGGTGAGGGGTCAAGTACCAAAGTGGCCCTGAAAGTATTTAAGTTGTCTGAGCCGTGTGCACGTTTATGTGCGTCTGTGACTATTAGAGTATACAACAGATTTAGCATGGGAACAACAACACACCCCTGACCTCCGTCCGGCTATTTCTTGAATTCCTCCCCCCACTCTCCCCCCTCCCTCCCCCTTGCTTCCACATCTCGTACTTCCTCTAAGTGCGCTCTCTCTCTGCTCGTGACCCGGAATAATCATTTCCCTCTTTTTGCCTTTGACCTCCTTCTCTTTATCTAACTTTATCAGCCGCTTTCTACCCCTCGTTTCTAATTGAAATTTTATTTAATTTGGTCGCTTTCTTCTTCCTCCCTTCTCTTCTTCCCCAAATCATGAAATCTCCTTTAAGACTCGGGATCGGACAAAGCTATTTGTATTCAAAGTGATAATCGCACGCGGTTCTCTCCTTTTCACATCTCAATGTATTTGTCGTGTCAATCATCTGATCGGTGCCACTGGTTCTTTACCACAGATGGTGAATGAAGACAAGGACAAACACTCTCCGTCTCTCCATTCGCTCCCTGGCGTGCGTCAAACACGAACCCACTCAATGTTGCGAGAGCAGACGGAGAGATTTTCTCAGTTTACCGGGAGACGAGAAAAGGATGAACGGGGGTCGAGGGAAAGGAAAAGAGGAGAGTGACGACGGAAGTTCAGGGACAGCGAGGGAAGACGTGGAAGAAAGAGAAGCTGTAGAAGCACTTATCTCCATCAGTGCAGCAGCGTGGGTACAACACTGAGTCATGACCGGAAAAATGCAGTAAAGAACAATGATAAAAAGCTATTTTCAGCCCGAGAAGTTGGGGTTGATGGTCGGGTAGAGAGGCAATAAAAGAGAGTGCTTTCCCAGCCAGTGGTGATGGAACAGAGGCTGAAAATATCTGTAGCTTTAACAAGTAAAAAACAAGCAAAGCGCAGAACTCAAACGCTGCCGTGACGACCAAACCAGCCCATTAAAATAAAGTTTATTTATTTACAGTATTCTGTGATCATACACCCTGTGTGAATGTGAATGTCTCCACCTCCTATGGCACACAACGTATAAATAATGCGTAATCCACCACCTCGCAAATGAGACCTTATTAAATCATTAATTAGCCTCCATGTGATCACCCCCAACAATTACAGAATGACTCCCTGCTGTTTGTCTGTGCACACTCACGATGTAAATATTCTGCCGTTGCCGTACACGCTTTGCAGAGAGGATTTATTTTGCTACATTTGCAACGTCCACAGTCGAAAACGTGTCTCACGGAGGGTTTCGCCCCCTGCACAGTGTGACACTTCTTCCGTGGCGTCATCTACAGGAGACGTCACGCGATGCATTGTCCCTATAGCAACTACATGTGCCGCTGCCAGCTGGCACGTTTCTATAGCAACCGCCAGATGTGCAAAAAATGACAGGTGACGTCTTAATAACGCTAAAAAACAAAAGGGGCGTTTCTCACGTGTCGCTTTGTCGATTTATGTTCTGATGCCGTGCAGACGGTTCTGGATGATTTCACTCCACCTCTGCATCAATTTCAAATATGTGGGATTGAGAGATGGAGGGGGGGTCTGTATGGGAGAGGGGGGCAACATTACGGTGTTACAAGCCTGTATTCAAATATTCGCTGAAAGCAAAAGACCCTTCATGCACTTAATGTTTGTGCAAGGTGCATCAATTATAATATGATGATAGTTTAATGAATAACAATCATCGCATTTGGATTTTGAATTACCAGTCACGCTTCCGTTTAAGGGAAATTGTAGTGCTTTGGGGCGTTTTGGAACTCAGGGGTCCTTTTAGTTGGGGGCCCCCGGCCCGGGTGGTCCGCCGGGCCTTCTGCTGGAGTCCAGAGGCAGACGACCGGAGGGGGAGAAGCTTTGATCTGAACGTAACAAACTCCAGTGGCAGAAGGTCCATTCCGTCCCGTTACAGTTACAATGTGCTGAGTGTGAACTGAGGCAACGAGGCTCTATTAAACGTAAAACAGAACATTTCGCTGGGTTTAAATGCAGATTTTAAATGGAGAGACAGAAACCCTGCTGCGCTGTTAAGGTCACCTGCCAGAATATAATGGAGCTGGAACACAAACACGTAGAGCCTTTGAAACAACACTATTAAGAGCGATTATTCCAAAGCAACGCAGATAAAAAAGAAATGACGCAAACACGGAAAACAATATTTGATCGTGGGATTTTGATCTCCTGTTCGTGTTTTTGAAACACAGAAATAATAAGATACGGTCGAGGACGTTGACTCCCGGGTCACGCTCGAGTGCTTCGTTTCCACCGCGACCGAGTTCAGTCACTGTAGACGGCGTTCCGTGTTGGTGGGAACCAAACACGTAATTACCTGTTTTAATGCAAATTTGATTTCTTGTTATTTAAATTAAATCTCAAAACATACAATATAGCATCACAATACAGTGTAAACTAGCAGAACATAGTATCTTGTCTAATTTCAGTATATGTTTTGCATGTTTCAGCACATAAACTTAAATGCTGCACATTTAATGTTAAAAACAATTGAAAATAATCACTTCGCCAAATAGCAGACGGGCAAAAAATGCTTTTGTCTCCTAAAAGCATCAACCGTTAATAGAGGAAGTTCATGCGATCCCTTTTACCGCGCCCGTGTTCGCTTTTGGTGCTTCGCAGGTTTCATCTCTCGAACACGACAACTCAACAACGTGATAATTCTTTGGCAGCGGAGGCGAAATGTGTTTTCGCAGCTTCCATACGCACGGCGACGAAGAGGAGTTTTCCCAACGTCTGCAATCCCATTACTACACAACGATTAATCAACTTAAACAAAAGCATATGTTTCATCAAGTAGATTTCATTGCACACTGCTGGGAACTATATGCGGCTGCTTGTGAGTTATATGACGTTGCCATACAACAACATTCCCAGTACACACACACACGCACGCACACACACGCACACAGTCCTGAAGGTCTAATCAGGCTTAAGTGAACCTGTGCAGGGTCTCTTTGTGAGAATGAATACATTAACGTGATTCACAACGTTAAACTTGTTGAGAACTGACTGAGGATACAGAGATGTGTGCGTTTGTTAGTCGGACCCCCGCAGGAGGCCCGGGCGAAGTTCTGCTAGTCCTTCGATGACTGGCCCGTCGTTGTCCATGAAGGAGATGAAGGAGGAATGAGACAAAGACAAACAGACAGCGGGCGCGTGTTTGTGCGTCGCGTTACTCCCACAGACGCGCTGGTGACTCACCGGGCTGCAGAATATGTCACTTTGGCTTTTCCTGCTGACCTTTCGCCAGCACGTTTTCTGATGGACGCGCTGGAGTGCCACGTCCTGCACGCTCTTCACCATCTTGTTGGGTTTTTTCTGATGATACATACATTTTTTGTTTGTGTGTGTGTTTTTTAATAAGTCTTGTATCCTTCTCACTGACTCAGTTTTGTGTCATTGCCTCCGTTGATGAATTTAGCTTTACCCGAACCCACTCAAAAGAATTAAGTTTGATTTGAATCATCAGCTGCTCATGCCAGGCGTGTGCGTGTGCGTGTGTGTGTGTGTGTGTTTACTGCCGTGATCCCCTGTTGGTTATAACAGAAATGACTCACTCTGTTCCCCTCACACTCATCCTGAGGCCCAAACTGGAGTCCCGATTGGGGTCATTGTTTGACTCCCCATCATAAATAACTGAGTTCCTCTCAGTGTTTCTCTTAACATTAAGTTTCCCGTAGTTTGTATTTTGTAATTTCTCCTTAAGAACATTCTCAGCGGAGACAGAATCATTTTCATACATTTCTTTCATGGTGTTGCAACCTCGACGTGATGTTGGAGGGGAATAAAAGTTTGCACATCATTATTTAAATGTCCCCTGGAAAAACATTCCCAAAATGAATCAGAAAAAGTTCCTCCTCCATAAAGCTACGATGTTCAGGCCAGCACGGACAAACCGAACTCTCGCTGGAGGAAAAGCCCATTTGCCTTTTCACCCGCTTAGTTTTTTTTTTCTGGCGTGGGCCCCGTAGTTCTTCTGGATGCTGCCAAATCCTCCACACTGCACCTTTTAAACCCCAAATTGAACCCTAATGTGCACAGAGACACAGCTGCTTCAAGTTACTCCCGTTGATTACGCTGCGTTCAAATGGACGTCGGCTATTATGCAGCAACATTTACATCTGCAGAGCTTCCTTCCACTTGAATGTTGAATAATGAGATAAACATTCCTGCTTTGTGCATTAGAAAGCTCTGCTTTACAGTTAACAGCAATAACGAAAATGAAAATGATTTCCTGGTTTAGGACATGATTCGGACAACCTGGCTGAGGACAGGAATATGCATACCTTCCAGAAAATACACCATATTTCCTTCAAAAACAAACCGCGTTTCTGTTTTTTTAACAGGATAATCCAGTTACTGGATGTGTGAAGGAGGATTAGCTGATATGCCGCCCGACTTCCCCCTGATGCTCCAATTAAACTTACATGCGTGAAGCGTTTGGTGGGATGCCTCACTAGGAGACGTTTGCCTTCAGTGAGTCACCCTCGTTCTTCAAACAGCTCTCCGCCAAACCTTAAATCACACTAAGGAAAATAAAACCAGCACCGGAGCCTGTGTTATGAAAGCCCCCCCCTCCGGGAGGAGAAAGAAGAAATGGGGTTTGATCGTTTCTGCTTCCCTTGAGTGATGTTCGAACTTGACTCTTGCAGAAGGAGGTTTGTGCAGTGACACTCGAGGCCTCTGCTCACATTCACCGGGTCGCTCTGTGCTCTTTAAGTCTGACTGTACGCACACCAGCAGGATTTGGTGACATCACACATGGAAGCCAATCAGGTTTCTATTGGAAACATGCACTTGTGATGTGTACACCCCAGGGCTCCCATTGCAACAAAGAAAACCTCCGAGGATGGACTTCAGTAAGGGCCGTTTCTGCATTTTTCAATGAGGCAGAGAGACTCATTGCAATTGAAAAGTCTTGAAATCCTGCGTTAGATGGTTATTTAGATTCAATATTAATTATTTTATCAGAAAGGTGCAATCTCGATATAATTTATCCAGTTAGTTATACATATTTTTAAACATGCAAAGATAAAGAGGTTGTTTAATGACCGAGGGTGCACTTAAAATGTCCATCACCCCCAACCCAATAAATCAATCAATGAATACAGAAACACACGTGATCATACATTATAATGGCGTAATATCCGCCGTAATCCATGTTTAAAGAAGGTCAATGGATTAGCAGCTCGCCTGGAGCGCGCGCTAAACTTCCCTTTCCATCAAATATTAAACAAAACATCATTAAATATGGAGGGAAATAATAAAAAAACGAGACTAGAGCTTGAGAGATCTTACCTTCGCAAAGACCCGGATGTGTCACTGCCACTGTGCCCTTAGGCACGCGGCCGGCTGGCTTAGGCTGCACCCCGGGGGGAAGGAAAAAGCCATCTTCCACGCAGGGGGGGGGGGGCACTTTGAGTGTCTGTGTTGTTGACTTTATGTCACGCGGAACACGCGTTCCGTCATCAGGGGAGAACGTGCGCTGCGGGGCGATGAGGGCGCTCCTTTTTTTTTCTTTCTTTTTTTACGACTCAAGGAAAATCCTTAAAAAAAACAAAAACATCCCGCCGATGGACAGCCGTCAACACCGGACAGCAATAAAAAGAATAAAAAGGTCAATCCCCCCCCCCCCCGCGGATAGACGTCCCTCGTCTCAGTGGCAGAAGACGAGAACAAGCTTCGCTGACGTGAAGTTCCCTCCCGGCGTCTCCGCGTAAAACTCAACCCCGAAATACGCGTCCGGGAACTTGATTTCCTGCCAAAGGAGAGTAAAGAAACAGATGAAAGTCTCTCCAGAAACCCTCTGAAGCGAGTTGTTGCTTCCAGAGAGACCGTGGAGCGAGTAAAGCGCGTCTTTGTGCCGGAGAGAGAGAGAGAGAGAGAGGGAGAGAGAGAGGGAGAGGGAGAGGGAGAGAGAGAGAGAGAGAGAGAGAGAGAGAGAGAGAGAGAGAGAGAGAGGGAGAGGGAGAGGGAGAGAGAGAGGGAGAGAGAGGAGAGACGCGGCGGCTTCATCCAATTCCTCCAATGCGCTTGTGGGAATGTGAGGAGCTTTCACTGAGGCGGCGTTTGTGTGCGCGCGCGTCTGCATGCGTGCGTGCGTGTTGGAGAGGGGGGGGGGTGCAGGGAGAGAGCGCGATAGGGGGGGGGGGGGGGTAGTTTTTGCATGCGCGCTATAGCAGGATTTACGCGTGCGTGGTTTTGTTTGCATGAGTGTTTCTGTGTTCTGTGCAGACGACATGTGGGGGCAGGAGGGGGAGGAGGAGGGGGAGACAGCGCGAGGAGCCTCCGGTGACGCGCAGCGGGGGGAGAAAATGGATCAGCTGGTGATCGTGGACGTGGAAGCGGCCGAGGAGAGAGCTCCGGAAACACAACGTTCCTGCGGCGACGAATGCAACGCGTCAAAGTGCGTGTGCGGCGTGTCACTCCGTGCGCGTGCGTGTGAGACGTGCGCGAAATGCTCACAGCTGGAGGCGCGTCTGCCTTTTTTTTGCTTCAACTTTACAGCGTTTCCCTGAACACCAGAGAGGAGGGGGGGGGTTATACCATAACCTTGCAGAGGTTGGGATGCGTGTCACACACACACACACAGAGCATCATTGGTCAGATGGTTGGTTGGCAGTTGGTTGGGGGGGGCAGTGGGTTACAGAGGAACATGTGCTACGAGGACGCTGTGAGCCCCCTGACACCAACCTTATGACACCCTCCGTGCACCACGCACGCACACACTCACACACACACACACACACACACACACACACACAGTAAAAATACCCCGAGGGACCCTCAAGCATCCCCACTTCTGTTGGAGCTGAGATTTGTGTCTTTGAGTCTCTCAGTCTTTCGCTGTGTTTACATTCCATCATGGATCGAAATGAAAACACGCTGCATGGGGAGAAAACCCGAAGGGGAGGAAGAGAGTGTGTGGGAGAAAAGGGAGAGGGAAAGACACATCCTTATTTGTTGCCTGTGGCATTTCTCATGTACGGGCCCACTTGGTGTTGTGGGATTCAGAAAGTGTGTTGACTTTTTGGGTCAACACAGCAGCTGTGGACAGGAGTCTACATAATTAAAGGGAAACTGTAACTGAAAGGGAGAGGGTTTTTGGAAGGGAACGGGGGAGGCGAAGGGGGAGAGGAGGGGAGGAAGTAGCGGGGAAACGTGGGCGGTGGAAAGCAGAGAATTGTTCCATTTGGACATTTGTATCATTTCAAAAAGGAATAATATCTCAATGATAAGAGCATGTGACGGACAGATGGAGGGCTGGAGGGGGCGTGCTGGAGTTCGTGCTCAGTGATTGGGTAATTGTCGGGAAGAGGGCGGGACATGTAGACAAGTGATTAAGGACACAAGAAGTTCATCTTCATGTCAAAAAGTAGTTGGAGAATATCATTCATTTTTCTTTGTTTCTTTCTTTCCTTTGTTCTCCCACTTGTCGTGCAAACCTCTTCCTCATTTTCCAGCTACCTTTTTTTAGATTACATTTTGAATGACGAATTATGACGCATCAAATTGTGTGTTTGCGTGACCTCACAATCCGTACCACGCAGCGACACACATACACACACTTAATGATAATTACAGCCCCTCTGCTCCTGCATAACACATGTTGACATGTAGGCCAATGCCTTCTCATGAGCATCCGTCTGTGTGTCCCCTCGAATTTCATGGAATTTAGGAACAGATGAGGAGAAGCAGAGCTCTGCTGCTGTGGATAAAACACAGATTGTTTAAAGCCACTCACGAGGTGTAAACACTCCCCGTAGACACTGTTGAATCCTCTCTGTCAGTCCCATTTTTCATACTGGTTTCATCCGCTAAAATGCTTCATTCTGAGATCTTAATGCGCTGTAATGTACGGTTTCAGTTACTTGTTATGACTTGAAAAAGAAACAGAATACCTGAATTGGACATTTTTCTCTCAGCAAGGCATTTTGTTCATTGTTTGAGGTTCAGTGTGAGCTCAATAATTCATAAGTGCCTTGAAATTCCTCTGCAATGCTTTAACGCTTCAAACAGTCCACTCTTCTTGTTATTTCGCCTCTCCTAAGCTTCTGCTGTGTTAAGCTGGAAACTGGATTTAGGTGGAGACATATACAATGGCTCCACAAATGGCCCAAAGTTCTCTTAGCTTTGGACACTGAGGAAGTTTCAGGTGGGTGCAAACTGCCACCTCACCACTAGATGGCGACCGATGCTACACACTGCTCCTTTAAGGGCAAACGCTGATTGTTAAAAGGAATACTTTAATTTATCATATATACTTGTTTGCTTACGGCACCAGAGGGAAATAGCTGGCCTGGTTTCACTCTAAATAAAGGTGAGGAAATCTACATGCTACCCGGGACCGGTAACGTCCTTGGGTAAAACGGTCTATTTATATCTATTATACCAGACGGATTAAAGAAACAAGACATAACGTGTAAATTACTAAGCTTCAGAGACGCCGCTATGAAAAATGGAAATGAATCATACATGCGATTTATATTGTTGCTATTTTTGAGGCAGAGGAAACGTCTGGAGAGATAAAAGAAAAACTGGTTTTCTTCACTGTGATAAAAATGTACCACTACACACACACACACACACACACACACACACACACACACACACACACACACACAGGGGGATGAATAGCTATGACGCTTACCAGGCGCTCCATCCTCCCCCCACACTCCCCGGCTGTTGTCACTATGGATACAATGATGCGGGTTACCGTGGCAGCCAAGTCAGCCTCTGACACAAAGGTGCACGTGCGCATGCTTTACTACACACACGGATATATACGCATATTTCTTCAGCTATTTCTGGAGGAACACGGTAGAATCTTTGTCATTCATCCATCATCACATCGTTCCTAGTTTTCACTTTTCACGAGCAGATGATGGAAGTTTTTCATCCAAGATCCCAAAGTAAAATAAAACATGTCTCTTCTCTCTTCCTCGTGTTGCTTCTTCGCGGGTGGATTAAGTTCTCTGCCGCTCTGCCTGTGAAGCTACGCTACCACCTAGTGTTGTCACTAAAAACTGACACACAAAATCGTAACCGCGTTTGCTTGATGTTTTCTTGCAAGTTGCAGCCACAGTTCCACCAGTAATCATCAACAACTCATTTGGAGAAACATTTTCATTTTTCCAACTAGCAATGACGTCTCGGCTATAATAGTGAAGTATTTAGCCTCATAACCAACTTTGTATGTACACTGTTATCCCTTTTGGATTTCCTCTTAGTACTCTTCTTAGTAGTAATCCCATTTCTTCTAATCCAATCCTTCCTCCTCCTCCTCCTCCTCGCCAACATGCTCCCTCGCACACAAACACATGCAGCCCACATTCTCTCATTCAGACCAGCAGCTATTCATGTTGTTGGACTACTGCTGTCGTTGTTTTGGATTCACACTGATAAAACGCCATGGACCCTTCTCCCTCAAGACGACACCCAGCGACACCTTGGTAAGAACGCTGAGTGGTGACTTTGTTTTATCAGGAGGGAGACTAGACCTTAGACCAGAATACTCGGAATCACGTTTATTGCTTGTTTCAATAGATGAAATTTCTACTAAGTACTTTAAATGATGTCATCGTAACCAACGTTTAATTCAGTTTGTTAAGTTTGAGTCCCCGTGTCCCCATTAGGCTCTTGTTTACCTTTAAAGAGTTAAGGGGTTTAGCTGTCTTTTAAGTATTGCCATGAGCTAAGCTCCTTTAGTGCCTCCAGACACACCGACGTCTGAACGGGCCGAGGCACCACGTGGGACTGGTGGGCCACAGTAAAATAAAAATATAGGTCGGATATTCTCCCCCATGTACTTCTCAGTGCTGCTCATTTTAGAAGGAAAAACAGAGCAAAAATTATGTGAAAGCCAAAAGAGCCAATTTCAAAAACCTGCTTGCACAAACAAGGAATTTTGTTTGGTGATTGGTGCATGACAGTTCAGCCTATAATATCTGATGGCGATCCATTCAATAGTTTTTGAGATATTTTAATCCGAACCAACACGGAGAACTGATCAACCAAAATGCTGCTTTTCAATACATTTAAAATCTTTAAGCTTTGGACTTAATTGCAATCAAGTTGAACGTTTGGAAATTGTGTATTTCACAACTTTCATCATTGACTGATAAAGACTCAATAAATATTTAAAAAAAAAGATAACAGACAACGTTTCTTAAATGACCGACAGCGTGAATAAGTTGTATAACAATAAAACACGACAAAAACATATTTCCTCTAAAGGTTAGAATTCATCTTATCTGTGTTCTTTATCACAGCTGACGTTTGCACAGGTGGAACTAATGAGATTCCACGCCGATTCCTCTCCGTTAACGCGCGCCAGGGACCGACCTGATTGGAACGCACCCCTTCACTAATGTAATCGTCACCGCTCTGTCTGACAAGCCAAAAAACGCCAAAGGTTGTTTATCGCTCCTCCGACAGCGTGTTGTGTGATCTTAATTTCCCGTAGAAGAAACACAATGTGTGAAACAACAGTGAACGTCCCCAAATGCAGAGTTGTCGGGTTTGATTTAAATCCCTTACATAAAGGCTGATATTAATACTCTCCATTATTATTATTATTACATCGCTCATTTGAATCAAAAAACACAGGGTGGACAACGGAAGACGTTTTAAAGCCAAAAGTCAAAATGTTTTGCACAACCTGAAACCAGTCAGCAGACAAATGAAGGAAGCGTGGAATAGTGTGGTAAATATGTTGTGAGCAACATGCAGCGTACGGTAGATTGAGCTCTATTCAATAAAAGCATCTCCTGGTCCCTTTCATGTCTGCGTCTCCTCAGGTCGTCCTGCAGAACCTGCTGATGTGCATGGTGTGCTTCTACTCTCTCTACTACGTGGTGGTCAGTCTGTGCATCGGACTGCTCAGGTACGCGCAAATACTGCATTTACCGTCAAGGAATGAAGTGCAAATGGGAGCGTGAATGTTTACCGCGTGTCGTCCCCTGGCGTGTGTCCAGGGTTCACGAGATCAACAGCCTGTTGGCGCCGTTCGACTACACAACACAACCGTCATGGCAGAACCCCAAATACCTCGGTGAGTGGCACTGATGCAATCAAGTACTTTCTTCTAATGGTATTTGTAGTTTAATAGAGCATTAGAATGCAATTCTATTTTACACATCAATGAGCGTTTATTAGCATTGTTTTGAGAGCTTTGAATGTACAGGTTGATTGATTGATGTACATTCATTTTAAAGTTTGATTTACTAGTATATATTACTATATTGAAGTACATGAAAAAGATGCGAACACAATAATCCATCAGTGATCCTTTAGAGTCACTCTTTTAAAGAGTACGTACTTTGACTGAGGTAACATTTTTTATATTAAAATATCAGTAGTGGTGCATTTACATCGGTAAAAGAGGAGCGTCGAGCCGTCTGTCTGCTTTCTTTCCTCCTCCCTCCAGTTGGTGTGATTTCCACAGAAGTGACCTACGTTTTGGGAGGGCTGGTATTCGCCTGGATTGTCGAGGAGTGGGTTTGGGATTACGCCATAACTGTCACACTGCTGCACATCGCCATGACTGTGGCAGGTAAACACACACACACACACACACACACACACAAAGTGGATCAATAGAGGGGATCAGCTGATTGGATTAGGGGCCTTACGTAACTAGGCACACTGGCACGGTTATGTATATATACACACACACACACACACGGACACACTATCTATATGTGTTTAAGAAGTCAGTGTGTGCAGTGTGTTTTGTGTACAGATATTTTTTCCTTTGAATCAAAACTCAGTTGTCATGTTTCTGCAGTGATGTCAGACTTCCCTTCAGCGGAGCACTGGTGGATCGCTCTGGGTGAGATTTCTACTTTATTTCTCTCTCTCTTCTCTTTTATCTGGTCATGATTTACACTATTGTGTTTCCCCAAACTCTTTTCCTTTACCGTCGACTCCATCTGCAGGTTCAGGGCTGGTGATGATGATATTTGGAGGACAGCTCATGGCCCATAAACTCTTCAGAAGCAACTTTGTCTATCCAGCTGAACTACAGAACTTCTAGCGGACGCAGTGACGACAGCTTGTAATTGGTCTAATGGTTAATCTCATGTAAGGATACATCCAATCGGTACCCTTTTGAAGAGTGAAGCCATGTTAACATTGACGTGAACAACTACAGTATTTCTAGCAAGAGTCTACTGTATTATTATATCGAGCAACCACAGAAAATAATTATTTACTATTACTTTCCAGCAAATAGTCTCCTTGTACAAATGTCCCAACTTTGTCTGTTTTCTAAATCATATTATGTACAGTTTGAATAATGTTTTGTATTGTTTCTTTACTAACTGAATACAAATAGAGGAGTTGAAGCTCGCAGCATTCTGAAAAGACTGGATTTACCGCTAAATAAAACAAATATACTGACTGATATTTATTCAATGGTGAATCAGCAATGATACTTTTTATTTGTTAGTGTAATGTTTCACATACCAACTTTGTAAAGCGTACAGTATAGTTTTATACACAATCTGATAAAGACAATTGATCCTTTTAATATTATGGTTTTATTTATTAGATAAAACTGGATTTACATTAAATATTGAAAGCAAATTGTGTTCTGTGTGTGTGTTTGTGTCTATTTGTAGAACTAGAGGAAGCCCAAGTGGCTTTTGCCTGGATAACAAAGACAAACCCGTGTCTTCTTTTTATGGAATTAAGGCCGCTGATGAAAAGGAGAATTTGGAGCCCTTACAAAGCAAATGCTTATCTGTGAAATGTATTTCATTCTAAAATGTTTTATTTGTGTTTTTATAACATATGAGAAACTGGGGGAACTACTACTACCAGCAGCAGCAGGAGTCCGTGAACTTACTGTTTGACCTCTGACCTGACGTCATTGCGTGATTGAGAGTGACCCCGTGACCCCAGCGCCAAAAACACGTCGAAACTGCTCCTGCTATCAATTAAGCGAGGGGGCTGATTTTGGTAAACAAAATAATAAACCTGCACCACGGCGGCCGTAACTAAACCACCGACCGGATGTCAGGAAACGGGTTTATGTCCAATTTCCGGCGGTTAATAAGCCTCGAAGAGCGGGCGGCGAGGAGCACCCCGGTAAGTTTACCACGGTGGAGCAGGTTAGCATGGCTAGCTAGCTAGCTAAGCTAATTTAGCTAACTGAGCTAATGTGAGAACAGCTGTAGAAAACAAACACACACTGCCGTTTTAAATCATAATTAATGCACCCAGCTAGTTTAGTTATACAGTCATGAATGCTATTAATAATTAAAACACGCTCTGTGTCTCATCTAAATCATAAGACACAATTATTAGCCTGTATCTGGGGAATGTAACATTAGCTCAGTACAGAATTAATTTAAGTGAAACAAGTATAATCATCATACAAGCCCGTAAATGAAATAGGTAATTCAGTTACATTAACTTTCTATCCTCAAAATTGATTGATGTCAGCAGTTGAGATACATGATACGCTGGTAAACCGGTAATTTAAAATGCACATATTATACAACAGTCATATTCTCATCAATGTGTTTGCAAGTGCTCAGCAGGTCTTTGTCTCAAAGTGTCTGAGTAGAATGAAACCAGAAAAGAAACCATTGTGGTTTTTGGGACACTTGCACATTATTATTCGATAACTTATTATTATTATTATTTCAAGTTATTTCAAGGCTTTTCTTGGCCCTTTGTAGAGTCCGTTTGATCAACTCCGTCAGCGGATGAACGATGTCCTGGGGGACGGAGGCGTCCTGAAGGAGGTGGTCCAATCCGGAGAGGGTCCGCCTGTACCTGAAAATGCTTCCGTACTGAGTACGTAGTGCAATACTTTTTTCCTAAAAATTCCTGACTCCTGATTCCTGATAGTTTTTTTTGTCCTGCCTCAACCGCTCCTTATTCTCATTCTTCCACAGTCCATTACTCGGGTTTCCTGGAATATTCGGACCGACCTTTTGAGACCACCACGCACTCAAAGTACCCCCGGATGATGAAGTTAGGGAGAGGTCCGTCATTCTTAGTGCAGGTTCAGCGGACGTTTTCCTTCTTGGGTGCAAATAATCAAAGCTTTTTCAAACGTTTACTCAGACGTGACGCTGGCCGGACTGGAGATCGGTCTGCTGACCATGCGGAAAGGAGAGTTTGCTCGTTTCCTCTTCCAGCCCCGGTACGCCTACGGGAGCATGGGCTGCCCTCCGCTCATTCCCCCTGCTGCTGTCATCCTCTACGAGATTCAGATCCTCGACTTCCTCGACTCGGGACAAGTGGACAACTTCCTCGCGATGAGTCCGGTAGGAAAGGCCTCAGGTGTCCCGTGGGTTTCATAGTCTTAAGAATACCGGAAATCCCACGAGACATCGTTCTTCCGCTGGACAGCAAATGCATGTCTTTTGTCAAGAGGAGATTTATTAATATTTCCGTACAGTTATGCATGCAACTGGAGAGTCCTACTCGTTATTGTGGCTTGATTATTATTATTTCCTACATCTTGAAACATGGTTTCTATCTTGTAGCCTATAACCTGTTGCTTTTTCTATTTTGCAACATCTTAACAGTAAAAATAGGAAAGAATGAGGATGAAAGATGACCTTTGCAGGATTTCTGTTACATGTACTTTCCTCAGGAGGAACAGAGCACCGTTCCTCTGGCAACGCTCCTCGAAGTTGTCTGCACACTACGCAGCTTCGGCAACCGTTGCTTCAACCAAAGCCGCTACGACAACGCCAAAGATCGATACAAACAGGTTCCAAAACATGTCCTTGTTGGCTTTTTTCATTGTGTATATACGTAAAGGATGGAAATCAATTTGGCACTGGCCTCTCTGCTTGGCCAAGGCAACGATGCTGCTGGGGAACCGGGAAACCCAGAGCGCTGCTGAGATGGAGACGATGGAGACGGCGCTGCTTCCGCTCTATCTGAACCTTTCTCTCACTGAGCTCCGTCTGGACAGCCCGCGCAAAGCGCTCAAGTATGGAAACAAAGCCTTGGAGATCGACTCTGCCAACACGAAGGCTCTGTTCCGCTGCGGTCAGGTGAGACACCGCTTCTTTTTATCTACTCATTCATTTATCGTCAAATAAAAGTCTACACAATCTTAAGTGTGTCTTTGTATTAAAGGTTTTAGGTTGCAATGGATGGTTAATAATTGGCATGATGACATCACATCAATGGAGTACTGAATCAAGTTTGATGTTTAGGATGAAGAATTTGTGATAATATATTTTGAGTGTAAGTTAATATATTGATCATTTTTTTCATTACCTATGGCAGGTACATTTTTGCCCAGGGAGCAATTAGGGGTTAGGTGGCAGCCGGGGCTCGAACCACCAACCTTGCGGTTCCCGGCGCACCCTCCACCCCTGCGCCACATGATACCCTGTTAGAGCCTCAAATTGAAAATGTCAATCGCAGTTTTGTCCGTCAGAAGTCCTTAGATATTCAGTTTAACGTGATTTAACCCCAGATTCCAGATAACAATTAGTCCATTGTTCCCACTGATGACGTCTCTGTCAGGCGTACATGGAGCTGCACGAGTACGAGAGCGCCCATGGTTACCTCATAACTGCTCAAGCAAAGAAGCCCTTTGACAGTGACATCAACAACCTACTGAGGAAAGTGGAAATGTAAGAAACTTTTGTCGACAAATGCAGGACGTTTGGAATCAATACTGACATCATTTTATAGATGATGGAATTACTGGGCTTGTATGGGTTGGTTTTTTTAGAAACATGTACTCTTTTGTGCTTTTAGTTTAAAACGGCGATGCTCATTGAGAAGTTATTATATATTTTTTAAACGGTCCATATTTCAGATGCTATAAGGACAGCCTGGACAAACAGAAGGACGTGTACTCCAAGATGTTCAGAGGCTTGAGGGGCAAGTGAGGATACAAAGATGGGTGAGAAGGTAAGAGATCCTGTCTCTTTGTCTGTATGTCAGGGCTCCATCGGTAATCGTCAATCAATCATATCGGTCAGCATTCGACCAATACAGAACCTGTGTGTCCACTTTGTACTTTCCAGTACAACATTTGTTTAAATAGGCAGAAAGAAAACGGCATTTTCCGAAGGACTGACTCATTTGCCGCGTTTGTGTGTTGCAGATGACTTTATGGCTTAAGAACGTTCTCTCCAGTACTGCAAATTCTGAAAGTTCACCCGTGGTATTTTTGGGGGCATATGTTGTTAAATAATATTATATAGATGCATTTATATATATTTTTTCAAACAATTATTGAGGTTACTAATTTAAGTTATGTTTGAGGCTTTTCTGGAATTCCCTTCTTCCTCAGATTCTCTTTGTATCCACTTTATGCTGGAGTGTTAAAAAATGTCACCGGGTTTGATCGATGTTGAGTTAATACTGATAAACAAATTAAATGTGTTTTGCTTTCACTTCTAAGATATCGTGTCCTTATTTTTGTACTTTTTACATAAGAATGTCACCTTTTTTTAATATCTATTTGTTAAATGAATATCGCCACTTGGAACCAGAAGATAATTGAATAACGGTTGCTGCATAATTAGTTTTTTTACTGTGAAATGAATGCGCTTGGATGTAGAACTGCTGGTTGTCACAAAACAAAACAACAGGTCGTGGCCACTGAGACTCTTTCCAGTTTGTGGATTTAACATGTTGACTTACTTTTAATGGTAGTGGTGTTGTGGCTCATTTTAGTCTTTTTATTTCTTTTTTACCTCGAGATTTGGCTCGTGTTTCAGAGTCTCCGCAGCATCGTCGGTACTCTGAGATCATTTAGCGTTTAGGTGTTTGTACTACGGGCCAGCAGGGGGCAGGCTCTCGCTGTCAGCACATAACTCAAGCTTTTTGTGAAAATACTCAGAATGCCGCTGAGATCATAAGTTACTATTCAACACAGGGACACTTTTAATGTGTAGGTTGGATATAAAACAGACTACTTGAGGATATTCTTAAATTTGGCCCCGATTTCCTCGTGTTTCCCGGAGCAGCCTCATTAGCCGCCGTCTTTTTCTTTTTTTCTTTTTTGCAGCCAGCTCTAGCGATTCTTCCACTGTCCTCACGACCTGCACGAACCACGCCGCCGGGACATGCGAGGAGTGAATGTTTCGCACAATGCAGCAGAGTCCGAGAGGGATTTGAGTGATTCGTAGTTATTGGACAGACGGAGGAGTGTTGGTCAGCGGGGGGGGGGGGATCAAAGGTGCGGAAAAGGGCAGATGGAGGAGCAGAAAAATCGTATTGACCCGGCTAATCCGCTTGTCACAGCGTGCGAGTGTCGTGCTGTTGCCTCCCAGCATATGGCCGGCAGGTCGGGCTCTGGTAGAGAGGGTGACTGCACACAGACGGACAGAATGGCCTCCAGACTCGCCGGCTACCTTCATCTCAGGTGAGGAACGAGAGAAGGAGACGGCTATCTGTATGTGGGTCATCCTTCCCATTCTGCTTATTTATAGAGAAATATATATATATATATATATATATAGATGTGTGTGTGTGAGGCAGCTCTCTTTGACACCTGTTGGTGTTTTGGTGGAAATGGTAATACTCCTACAAACATGTGCCGATATTTTGCAATTCCCATGTGTCCCTTTTTCACCAACACCTGGGAATGTGTAGTTCACTTTGCTCAAAGTAACACACAAATCACTGCACACTTTCTTACTCATTTGGTTTGATGGTGAGTTTTTGGTTTAGAGTGAAATCCGGTGCTCTATGGAGCTGGATGGGATCTAATAGCTAACAGGAATCCCTTTGCCTGGAGGGTTTATACCCTATTTACCAACAGCTGTTTTGTTAACAAGCCCCGTTGTGATATGAAATAAGATCCATTACACAAGCACCTGTCTCGATTAAAGGCCAAATTATTTAACACGTTACTAATTTTAACAAAAAACATTTGTGTGCTTTGGATGATGATTCATTCTGGTATTGTTGCTGGTTTTTATACTTTAAAATCTGATATTTTGAGTAAAAGGGAAAAATTGAAGCCACCTTCAGCTCTTTGTTTTGGTGCCTTCAGAAGGTAAAAAGCGCGCTCACCTGTCTTCACTTTAGCATCTGTTTACCTTTTACGACGACCCTCCGAAAAGTGTGAACGCATGTTTCATGAATGTGACCTGGCACAAGGACGATGTCAAGATCGACCGAAGATGATTTGACTGCTCTATTAATTATTAATTATTTAATCCATGTCTTGCTCTTAAAATAGCCTCCACTCAGGCGTCGCACCAGGAAGTAGTCGGTGCGCTGGGGCAGCAGCAGGGGGCGCCCCGCCAGCTATTAGCCGTCGCCCACTTGCGGTTTTTTTAGCCAATCCCCTTGCAGAGCGGTGTGTGTGTGTGTGTGTGTGTGTGATATCTGTACTCCTGCCCCCGTCCTGCCCCGCAAACACACTCAACGTGCGGCAGGCAGCGGAAAGCCGCCGGGAACGACGCGCGCGGGGAGTGTGACGTCAGAATGAGTCGGCCGCACCGGCGCATCGACGTCTGCGCGTTTCTTTACGGGCCACAGATGAGCTCGTGCGGTGGACGTCAGCCGTGAGCGGAGCCGAAGAGCGGAGAGGACGAGGAGGGGGAAACATGAGCCGGCAGCAGACCCAGGGAGTGGTTTTAACGGGTTACCACAGCAACGCGGAACTGTTGCCGAAAACCGGACCGCGCGCCACCGGCTGTCCGCCGGCGCAGGACCTCGACCTCCCGGTGCCCAGGTGGGACGCGTTTTAAGTACGGGCGTTTTCGACACAGGGCGGCGAGAGAGTGTGTGTGTGTGTGTGTGTGTGCGTGCGTGAGAGCTGGAGGGCAAAGGTCACAGGTGATACGTTTTTTATTATATCTCCATGTATTAGACTTGAGGGGTCTGCGTCCTGCAGGAGAACCCGCAGTGAGTTCTCAGCAGAGCCGCTTAACTGCAAACTTTGCTTTTCTTTCTTTCTTTCTTTTTCTTTTTTTTTTCCATGATGAGGACAACTCCCGCCCTGGCTCGGCCTTGAGGGTTTGTTTTTCCTTTTACCACGTTCCTAATCTGCAGGTCAGCTGGTTAACCTTGACAGTGTTATAAAGTCCAGATGTTCTATGTTCTCCCACTGCAGGTCTAATGTCATCCTTTTTCAGCAATGTGCAATATAAGATCTGTTCGGTATTATCAGATAGCCACGAGGTTATTGTTGAACTGTGGATGAAAGTATCAAGAGCTTATTCTTATTATTAGTTTATTCAGTCAACCAACAGGATATGTAACTATTTGGACAGGCGATTCATCAGCTGGGTTGTTCCTCGGTCAAGAATGCCAAATATGTGATGGTCCCGGCTCCCAGATGTAAGAATTTACCACTTTCTGACATGTTCTTTAAAGAAAGACATTTTGAGACGTCCCCTAAAGGCTTTTGTTAAGGGCTCTTATCACTGTTATCTCAAATCTTAATCAACAGAACTATCCATTAGTGGCACACGCATGTCTGCAAGTGCTCATTATCAATCCACTCATCGTTTTTGCAAGTCACCACTAATGAAACCAAACGCAGCATCACTGGTGACTCATATGCTCGACAAATAAGTAAAGGGAGTTGACGCGGCGTTTGGGTCAAAGAGCATCAGTGCTTCTCAGCGAACATCTCAAATTCTTGGGATGTTTTCCTTCCAGAAAACACTGCTCGACGAGATGGGGTTTAAAACCTCCCAGATGCTTCTGCCTTGGTTTGGTTTCTCCATGTGCTCAGTAAGACGACGGATCCGCGGCGGCGGCGCACAGTGGAAACACTGGCCGGTACTTAAGCTCACATGGAAAATCGTTAAAGTGTTTTATTTATAACGAGGCACACGTGTTTATCCGCCCCAAGGCGGCGCGGGTCTTGTGTGTCTAGTACACATTCAGATCAGCAAACAACAAAGTAAAAAAAAAAAAAAGTACAGAAAACGTCAGCCCACACACACACACACACCTTCTGTGTGTGTGCAACACACACGCGTGTGTGCGTGTTCCAGATGGCTGCACCAGCATCAAGTTACAGTTTGCCTTTGTCTCACCTCCCGCAGCAGCGTGTGTGTCCCGTCCAGGCTGAAGTAAAAGCTTTAGCTTTGTAGTCATTGTTCAGTCAGGAAATGGCAGACGGAGGGACACGGACGGACAGAGCGCTCGTGGTCGTTTAGGTGACCTGAGAAGGTCTAGCTTTTAGAGGGGGGGGGGGTGGTTCCCGTGGTGCTTCCCATTGTCGTTTGGGAACAAGTGCCTCTTCTATGCAGGTCGTGGGACACACACACACACACACACGGGTTTGGATCAATTCACAGTGGGACCCCGCGGGGGAAACGCGCAGGCCGCACAGGAAATGACCTCTGCACGACAAACAAAGACGCGCTGTAAAGAGGTCACGGGGTGGCAGAGGAGCTGCGAGCTGCGGCCGTCATTAGGAGAAACGTTGTGAATGAGTGACATAATTCAGATTGGCGAGAGGGGTGTCTTATTAAGCTGGTGGGCCGCTGCTGGGACCAGTAGTCTGAGAGCGGGAACAGAGGAAGTTTGTTTTCTAAGGAGGGCAGCTGGCACCAGTTGATCTGAATGGGAATGACACACACACACTTGTCATCTTGTTTCCCCCTCTGCTAAACTTCCTCAACCACCCATTGTTCACTTTTAAGGCCTCCAAACCATAAAAATAAATTCCATTTTCCGTATCCACTGGGGGAGGAAGTCCTCGGATCCCATAAAAGAATATCCGAGGAGCGATACCGCTCACTCATGTGCAGGTTCCTTTGAGTAAGAGCAGTGTTACCACCGGTCAAACTCTGACTCACTCAGCAGTTACATATAAAGCGTGCTGCGCGTGCGGAATGTCTCTTTTCTCTGAACGTTTAGTTTGGAGTTCACTTCCTCGCGTTCAACTCATTGGTGCTAAATTCGCTGCTTCTCGGGTGACACGGTTTCCTTTCCACCCCGCTCGCACCGCGCAGCGTGGGATTTACTTTTCTCTACGCACGCACGCGCCTCAGGCGTCGGCACACTGAGCAGCTGATAAACGGTAGAACAATTACTCCACCGGCTGCAGCTCTCTGCTCCTTTTCTGAAGGTGACAATGTGTTTGTTTTACTCACAGGGGCAGCCCACCGGACCTGTGAGCGTGTGATGTTGCTAGTGTGCTTAAAACTGGTACAGACCAGTGTGAACGCAGATAACTAATGTATCTTAAATTAAGCGACCAGTAATTTGAACGGCAAATGCTGGAAAACTAATAATGAGTCTGTGTGTGTTTGCTAATCTCTGATTTATGGTTGTTTTGTTCTGCACTACAGCACTTTAGCTCTGGACAAAAGTAATTATTAACTAAAGGGTTCATGTGGGAGATTTAAAGCCGACAGAATCACAAGTTAAACAAATTTTTTCCTCCCTTCATTTCAAATGAAATCATCCCAATCGGTCAGGGGGAAAAAACCCGTCAGCAGTGGAATGCGGCTTTGGCTCCGCGTGAACCCTCTGTGTAATGTTCCACTGATAATTCCAAATTAATTAATATAAAACGTCAACTCGATGCCTTTCATTCTGACTTTACTACTAATCAAATTGTTTTATTTAGTCCATTTAAAACATTTTTATTGTTGCCTTAATTGTTTCCATTCTTTAGTTTCAAGCCTGTAAATCAAGTTTGTTTAAAATGTAACTTTTAACTTATGTGTCGTCTCCCTCAGTTGAGTCCCTCGAACCCTGGGATGTGTTTTTGAATCGACCGACTGACTGTCATCTAGATCAGGGGGTCCCCAACCACCGGTCGGCGGACCACAGAGAAAGAACTTATTTCTTTACTCTGAAAAATATTTTATTTTGAAAAATGACCGGATCCTCTCGCCGTGCGACGTGAACAGTTTTCACCACAACGATCTAGATCACTAACAATCAACAGGTGAGAGGAGGCGTGCGTATTTGTGCAGGTTGAACCGTCCCTTTCGAGGCCCCCATGCAGCTGCTATTAGAGCTGTGGCTCCGTATGCTGCGTGCAGGGATGAGCTGGCTGTGAGAGACAGCTGCTATTCTTAGTCCCCGACTGACGGAGTTAAATTTACTGCGTCTCTCTCGCTCATGTCATGGCAAACGTGAATCTGAAAGCGGTGCAAAGGCAAAACCTGTCAAACATTTATGGTGCAGGGAGGACCTGAAGATAGCTGCTGGGATGAAGCATCAGGCAGAGCAGCACTGATACACAAGGTGCAAAGTGCGCAGCAATAAGACGTATCCTTGGTTTTGTTTTGGAATGTCGGTCGGATTTTGACACGCGTCAGGTTTTTACCAACCGATACCGAGGTTCAATCCCCCGACTTCCCTTTTCTTACAACCGCCTGTTTGCGTGTCCCTCTCGCAGCCGCAGAACGGGCCACTACACCGTTCAGCAGGACCAGAGCGCGAGCCATGGAGACAGAACCGTGCCTTCCACCATCGGTACCAAACCCAGCAGCACTGAGCCCCCATCGCTACTCCCCAGGCCTCGGCACACCTCCAGCCCGAGCTCCGGCTCCAGCCCCCGGCACAGCCCGCGGCACAGCCCCCGGCACAGCCCCAACGTCCGGCCCAGACCGCGGCTCCCGTGCCAGCGCAGCGGCTCTCAGGTGGGCGGGATGGTTTGGAACTGATGACGACGCTCGTACGTTGGTTACCGGCTGGCAACAAGCTCTTCTGCTTGTTTGTACGAACCTGGGATGAGAATGTGTCTGCCGTAAATGCCTAAATCGTAACTATTAACATTTAACGGGGGGGGGGGTTCGGTTGGCGGACTTTCAACCCGTGTCCCTCGTGTGATTAAAGTAATTTACGGCTCTCGGGGGAAGCTTAGTGGAGAGTGCGTGTGTGGGCTCAGTAACAGCACGGAGACTCGGTAATAACCAAACACGGACCCAAATGAAACGCCTTTTTTGGAATAGCAACGGGAACTGGAGAAACACGCTGTGATGTCTGTTTAAATTCCAGTTTCTTAATGTAATCTGTTTATTGCGTTTATAGCGGAAAGAAGCTGCACATCTCAAGTTTCAATTGAGATTTGTTCAATCCGTCTGTAAATATTGAGTCATATTAAAAACAAGGGAACAAAAAAAAGAAAGGCTACTATCCAGGACGGAAACACAAAAGGGAACCTGAAACTAAACGTGTGTGTGTACATTTTTTGCATATGTTCACATCGCAGGACTCTCTGGACGAGCTAGAGATGGACGACTATTGGAAGGAGGTGGAGAATATCACCAGCTCGGGAGGAGAAGCGGGGAGGGGCGAAGGTGGAGGAGAAGGGGAAATGCAAGAGGAGGAGCAGCAGAAAACTCCTGAGGGTAAGAAAAAAAGACCCGGGGGAGACGCACGTTTCCTCCCTTTGCACATTTTCCTCCCGTCGCACGTTTTCCTCCGTGAAGATCTGTCGGTGTGCGTGGTGGCGTTGTGTGTTCTGATTCTGGATCCGTAGGGTTCTTCTCACGGAGGAGATAGTGTAGGGGCGCAGCTCGGTCGTGGGCAGGTTCGGGCTTGTTGTTTCCAAACGGGGCCGCCGAGCACAGACGCGTGCGATGGAAAAGGAGGAACAGAGCAGTGGGATGATCAGGGGAGGCCGCCATGTAATGTCAGCACGAGCTGTGTGTCAAAATCACGCTGCCTTCTCAGCGTAGTGCACCTTGTGTTAGAGGGATGTGTGTATTTATATACGCCTCATGAACACTATTGTTCTCTGGAGCAAACGCACACTTCCTGTAAATACGGTTTGTGTTCTTCCCGCTTTGTCTGCAGTTCCACCTTTCCCCTTTCCTGCACCTGTAGAATTGACCTGAAGGCCGTGACGGTGGTGTTCCATCTCAGCAACCCAAAAATAAATACAAATCTTCCCCTCCTCTCTTTCAGAAGGGGAGCAGGAGGAGGCGTGGCTCACAGAGGCGGGACTAGCCCGGCTGTTCGATGACTCGCTGGCGGCCGACCAGGATCAGGTATTTAAAGAGCCAGTCGACGTTGAATCATAGATTTATCAGTTTCATATTTGCAGCTCCACAAATTCCCCCGTAATGAACTGGTGAACTCACGTAAGTGTTCCTCTCCCCTGCTTTCAACCCGCCCACGTGACTCACAACGTTTTTCACCAGAAATGCTGAAGGAGGCAATAGAAGGGCGGCGGGATTGGCTGTGTCGATATCACAACTATTGGCTCTGATCGATTTGATTTGATTGATTGATTGATTGATTGATTGATTGACAGGAAGAAGACAACGAAGTGTTCCTGTCCACACTGACCAGATCCCAGGTGGCGGCGGTGGAACGCCGCGTGACGTCACTACAGCAGACGTTGCTACGGCGACGCAACCGCCAACACGTCCCTGATGTCAGGGATATATTCAGACCTCCCGAGAAGGTGATTAGTTCCCAACATGTTGATTCAGGTTTTTTCTGACTATTGTCTTTTCAGAATAGTGGTAGTGCGGTCTCTCACTCCAATGGGGGACATGATGTCATCATTGTGATGAAAAAGAACTTGATACCTTTTTTGATCTCTTCCGTCTTTGATGTCATGAACTTCACATCCCGCCCACACAACACACAAATAAGTGTTTGTTTTTACTTGTTTTGAAGTCATTAACCGAATACCGAGCTGTGCAAATACATGCACTTATACTAATTTGGCCGGAAGTAAAAGTATTTCTGCTACTGTAAAACTACTCCTGTCAGCAGAGTCTTCTTTACTTGGCCACACAGTTTGTCCACTAATTAACAGACAAGATAATATGTAACGTGAACAATGTAACGACCGGGGGGAGGTGTGTGTGTGTGTGTGTGAGAGAGCATGTTACTGGTTGAACATTACACAGTTACGTGTGTCTCCGTGTTATCTGCCGCAGGAGGAGCATCCTTGTGAGCTCAAAGAGGGAAGTGAGAATGGCCAGAAAGACGGTGGGTGCGACACACTCCTGCAGACACACAAACGCGCGCAGACACAAGTGTGATTCACCGATAGAGAACAACCGACTGAGGCTGAAAATAAACGTCTGCCCGGCTGCCTAGCGGCTCGCACGTCGTGGAAATGATTACAAGTGATCCGTTTTGTGATGCACTTGAATAGGTAACGATGCAGAACGGGTTTCATAAGCGTGCAGAGGTCCACAGGTGTCCAAAGGGCTGTTTGCGTCTTCCATGAAGTGGGACTAGTCATTTCACCTTTTCCCGACCTGCACGCGGGCCTCTCCGTCTTCCTCCCTGCGCTGCAGTGGCCTAAACGCTGTGCCATTAATCGCCTGCCGCTTGTGTATACACAACTGCGCCGCGCGTAAACACATCCGCGCCTCACCTCTTGTGTCTCTTTTGTTTTTCGCCTCGCGTGGGTCTCGTGCAGAAGCGGAGACGGAACTGAACGTCGAGGTGGCGTTTTCGGAGCAGGCGCTCACCTACAGGGACAACCACCAGAGGTTAAGGGTCACCGCTAGGCCCGAATCACCTGACGACAAACTACCAGTGAGTCGCGTGGCTGCACGCAAAGGCTGTCTGCACGCTGACTCTCCTCAGCTGTGTTTTAATGTGTTTATTTAATGACAGAATGAGCCATTGGTGTCGCTTCAATGAATAAACTGAGTGTACTGATTTAATGCACTGGCATTGATATCTGACAGTGGGCCGCTTTTGAATTGCTCTCTGCTATTCTTTCATGTCGGCTCATGTTCGAGCCTGTATTGACTACGTATTAATTGTTGTGGGCTCAATGATTACAAGAGATAGCAGACAGACATCTGACAACAACAATTTAAAAAATCACACGATTACGTCTTTACTGCTCGTTCAGCATTTTTTAAGTGTGACAAAATGTCTTTGTTGCACCTGAATGTATTGTAATCGCATTAATTCTGAAAATAGTTGGGTTGCAGCTCGGGTCTGATGTTTGTCCTGAATCTACCTTATGACCACAGGTTTTACATTATGTGCAGTCCGCACGGCAACAGTTTGCATTTTATTGTGTTGCCTTGTGACTAAAATAAACACGCTGTAACGCAGGGAAATATATCCAACCACATCCATTAGAATACTACATGTGCAGTTGGTGTTTCACTGAGCAAACTTTAACGTCAGCAGTTTGAGTCTCTAGTGCCACCTGGTGTTTGAAGGTGGAGTCACAGGCTCAGTATGACAGCTCACACTGGTTACTGAAGCCCCTCCGTCTCCCACTTTGCCTTTTCTCTGCAGAACTTTAAGTTGCTCCGAGACAAAACGGGTCAGACCCGATTAGGAGACCTGTCTCCTCTGGATATGAAAAAGGTAAGTAAGGGAAATGCGTTCTGTATCAGTGTTTATATATGGATGGATGCATGCATAACAACTCCCCTGTACAAGATTAGTTTATTGAGTTGTGCCACCAGTTACTACTTATAGTCGTTGTCTTATTAGTGTGTGTGCATATATATAAAAAATGTATTGCGTTTGAAATGTTCCGTCAGGTGAGAAGATTGGTACTAGTGGAATCGACTGCTCTGTTTGACACTGCTGGAATAGACCTGAAGGCGCACAAACCGGTCAAAGTTAAGACTAAAGGTAATTTAGCAAAAAGGGTAAAAACAGGTAAACATGCCGTTAATGTTCTGTATGAAGATATTCCTGTTTGGCTAAATATTTGTGTGTGTGTGTGTGCGCATGCAGAAAGTGGTCTTTTTGGTGTTCCCATTGCCACTTTATTGGATCAGGACCAGAGGCGGGCTTCTGGGACCAAAGTGCCATTCATCCTGCAAAGGGTGAGTTAGTCCCGAGACGAGGACGACTCACCGTCACGGCCACGATGAGAGGAAATCTCACACATGGAATACAGATAGTGACCTAAAATCATGAAAGATATTAAAATATATTTATAGAGGAGTAACCTCAGCCATCTGTAAACTATTTCTCTCTCTCTCTCACTTCCAGCTTATCAGTCACATTGAGGAGGAGGGATTAAACACTGAGGGGCTGCTACGGATCCCCGGGGCGGCCACCCGAGTCAAGGTGTGTCAACGCGCTTCACCGTCACTTACGAGGAAGGAGAAGTCGATCCTTCTCTAAAGAAGTGAAACAATCTTGTGTTTCTGTCCCGAATCCAGTCGCTGTGTCAGGAGCTCGAGTCGTCTTTCTACGACGGCGCGTTTCAGTGGCAACAGTTGAAGCAGCACGACGCCGCCAGCCTCCTGAAGCTCTTCATCCGCGAGTTACCTCACCCGCTGCTGACCGTGGAGTACCTCAACGCGTTTATCGCTGTCAACAGTACGTTCGTCAAGTGGTCTGCTCATAACCAGACGTCTAAAGCCCTCATTTTGCACATTAAGCATTTCTGTGCATGTGTGTGTGTGTGTGTTTTTGAAGAGCTCCCAACAAAGAAGCAGCAGCTGCAGGCTTTGAACCTGCTGGTCCTTTTGTTACCTGAGGCCAATCGGGACACCTTGAAGGTGAATGCAGATCCGCTTTGAGAGGAGCTTCATGTTTTCACCGCAGTAAATAACACATCTTTGATTATTTCTATTGTAAATTTGGGTTCTGTCTTCTTCCCCTTAGGCACTAATGGAGTTTTTCCAGCGTGTGATCGACCACCAGGGCAACAACAAAATGACCCTCAACAATGTCTCCGTCGTCATGGCGCCCAACATCTTCATGTTCAAAGGCTTTCGGTCCAAGGTGACGGAGCAGCAGGAGTTCTCCATGGCGACCAGCACAGCCAACATCGTCCGGCTGCTGATTCGATACCAGAATCTTCTCTGGACGGTACGTAAACGAGCCCCGAAACTGCACTGACCACGTCAACACTCGTGTAGCTGAAATCAAAGGAGAACACGTTGTCTCAATGCATGATTAGACACCGTGACCTCCCAAAGTCGTCCAGATTATTTTTCTACTAATTACGGAGGAGGGCACGGTGTGTACTGAGGATATAAAATCTGTTTGTGTGTGTATGTGTCTTATCTCCAGATTCCCAAGTTCATTATGACCCAGGTCAGACATCAAAACATGGAAAGCCATCGGAAACAAAACAAGGAGAGAGCTGTGAGAAAGCTGCTGAAGAAGATTACCACGGACAAACCATCTGATAAAGCCGCCCCTGAGGTAGGAGCTTCATTTAGGATTTAATAATTTGGTTGACACGCGTCTCCGGGTTGTTTCGCAGCAGAGCGCTGTGTTGCCTCCGCTCCATTATCAGTAGTAAACGAGCGGTAACTGTGTCATAATGCTTAGATCAGTGCTACAGGGACGTCTAGTGGACATAAGACTGTGGATCCATCAAACTGGTGGAATGATTTTCACCCTTTCACTTATACGGTATATTTATTTTTAATTGTGTGCGTGTCGCGTCTGCATCTAATGAGCCCATTAAAAAACATCAGAATGTGCTTCGTGGAGCTCATCGGATGATGCATCCAATTAAAAAGGAATCCAGCTACGATGTACTGATACTGAAACACAGCTGGTCTGGCACAGTAGAGCAGTACAGGGAGTACAGTCCTCCCTGCGAGTACTGCGGTGAGTGAGTGAGGGAGTGAGTTGCTACGGCAACCCATCACCCTTCACCCTGCACGCTCAGCAAAGTGCTGCGAGTTTATTAAACAAAAGAGCTGGAATTCCTCCAAGTTCACATTCTTGCTGTGTGAGGTCTGCGTCTCTCTCACCGTAAAGCGTTTGATTGGTCGTGTGTTTTCTCTCGCTGACCAGGAGAGCTCGCAGGGATTCATTCGAGTTCAAGCGCCACAGTTCAGCAAAGTGTCGATGGCGGTTCAGCTCACCGGAGAGCTGCAGGCTGCGGACGTGTTGTCCCGCTTCCTCAGCCAGGACAGGTAATGTGTGCACCTGCGGTGCCTCGGCCACGCAAAACCTGGCCGCCCTATTCGTGTCTCCCTGATTCCTCCTCTCGCTTTATTCCTCCCAGTTCATTGGCGGTGGACAGAGAAGAGCTGTGTCTCTACGAGATCGGCGGAAACATCAGTAAGTGCCGCTCCCATTGTGCCAGTGTTTTAGATGTCGGATGTCCTCTGCTGTAATCATCTCGTCTTTGTCCGGCGCCCCCCAGAGGAGAGGTGTCTAGACGGGGAAACGTACATGAAAGACCTCTTCCAGCTCAACCCGACAGCAGAGTGGGTCATCAGAGCTGTGCAGCGAGGAACTCCTTCCTACCACCGCGCCTCGCTGGACGATGGAGCGCTCCAAGCGGCCCCCAACGTGTCCCGCTGACCAAAGACTCCAACCCCCCCCCCCCATCCTTCGGGGCTCTTCTGGACGCTCGCAGGGCTGCACGTCCAATGGCGTTTTTTCAAACGTACCCTTTTTAATGAAAAAAACAGATTGTTTGGCGAGTAAAGGGAAAAGTGATGTGCTGCTGAGGCACGTCAAACCACTATTGTAATGGGGTGGAAATATCCCAATTCTCCCAATTTGTCCCCCCACTTGGACCACGACATTGTGATTCTTAATTTTATGCGATACTGTAAGCATATTATATATTTATATATATATATATAATAGAAGCCTGTGTGTTTGGAGGCACTTAAATGAAGGTCTTAAATTGCCTAACAAGTTTTATACCAAAGGCTTGGACTCTTTAAGTGATCATTTTAAAGAAATACATTGCGGACTGTTAAAATTGCCTTTTTCAGTGACTAATCTGATGGGTTCCAAAAGTATGCTGATGCAAATACTTTTGCAAATATTTTTTATTTGGCTGTGTACTCTTCAGTCTGGCTGTCAGTGGATATAATACACTAAGCAAAGGTTGTACTAATCCAGGAATAGAAGGGCATTGCTTTTCTTGACTTCATGCAGCGGTCTGATCTGATTCTGTGTGGTTTCTTACAGTTTGACAGCCTGGGGAGGATCATATCTTCACCACTAAGTCAAACACCGCAGATATTTCCCTTGTGGGAAACTGTGGCGTAAAAAAATAATGTGTCACTGTTGAAAATGTTTCTAACTGAGTCAGTCCCTGCCTCGTATTATCCTGTTTACTGTGAATGTTTTTTTTTCCTATAAAATGATATATTTGTCTTATTATTGCCTCTGAAATGACCACTAAAACCGCCTGTAAATAAAAGAAATGTTATTAACTACCACGGCCGCTGTTAGAAGTGCTTGTGTGTGCAAAGGACCCCAAAGTGCATGCTTATGGAGGGAAAAGTGTTTATTGACTGAGGACAATGTATTTGTGCGTTTTTTTTTGTAATCTCCCTTTTTAAATCCCCTGTCTTCATCAGGCAGGTGACAGCCCTGATTATTTGTTAAGAGGTCAAATGCTCAATGCTAATGGTTTTAGTGGGGCTTAAAGAGCCTGAGTGCAATGGTTTAAATACAAAGACAGCAGGTTTAACAAGGCACACTCCCTTGTGGAGGCAGTTGAAGTTAATCCTGATGGCACTTGCTGATACTATTATGCATTGGGACAGCCAAAAGTACAATTTATATATGGATATACATACATATTCTAATTAGTCCAAAGAGTAGTTACGTGCTTTTCATTTCCTAAACGCTCCTATCATGCAAATACTCACGCAAATAACTTCGTTCTGCAACTAAACAAGCATCGTACATTTCGTATACATTTGATTTGCAGGTTCCAAATAATTGTATTTTACTATATACTGTTAACAATCTATATTTCGGACACATATGGTGCGTGTGCCGTCACGTTACCATTATTTTCGTAACGTGTTTCGGTGTCGTGTACAAACCGGAGACCTTACGGGACAAACCCAACCACCGGGAACATAACTGTGTACGCAGCTGATTCGCTGAGACGTCGGTGCCGCGCGCTCATTGGCTGCTGTCAAACTTAACGCGATCTGATTGGTCGGACTTCGAGAATAGGAAGTGTCGATCAGTAGTAGGGGGGCTTAACATGCTAGCTAAGTAACGTTAGTATGTGGTTAAAATAATTCCAAGGCGAACGCGTTTGTGTGTCGCTGTTAAACTCGGACGTTTCGCAGTGCCGTGAGGTCCCGGGCCGCTATTTCCGAGGCCGAGGAGCAGTCGATAGGAGATATTGCGATATTCGGTTGGTCGTTTAAGTGGCTGTGTAGCACTAGCGTGCTAGCTAGCTGACGTTAAACGTCATTCAGCCAGGTATTACTTGGAACTGTTAGCTTGTTTTTACAGCTGCAGTAAGTCAGCTAAAATCCAACAAGTTGCCATTCAGCGGGAACGCGGTTCTGTTTGGTTGAGCGTGTGTGTTTATTCATGCCGGCTATCATAGAATGACTCGACCGCAACTGGATGTCTGGTGATCGAGATAGCAGCGGCTACAGCTAGGAGCGGATTGTTAGCTTGTCAATATCAACAACAATGGGCTATAAAAGGTGTTTTAAAAACACAAGAACGATTTATCTCTTGACCATTCTGCTGATAGTCTTGGCCAAAGAAAGCACAGCTGGTAAGTATGATAGAGAAATGTCTTATTATCCGTGTGTGTGCGCGTTTCTGAAATGTTCCAAGCAGCTGTTTATATTTAGCGAACAGCTTTTTCCGTCACACCGTGTTTACTCCATTTAATGCTTTTCAGATGAAGAGCAGCATGGGAATGATGGACCCGAGCTAAAGGTACGCAACCCGCCATTCGATATTTGAGTTCGAACAGTAAATAAACCATAAAGCCTTAATGATTTCTGTTATCCAATGCAAAGAAAGGGGAGAGGACCAGCTCGACCCATAACAAATCATCAACCCACAGAAGACACATTTAGGATTGGTCCAGTTTTGCTACATAAAATAAGATATACTTGACTTCATGTAGGAAATATAATGATATATAATTACAGTAATCTATGTCACCAGTTTTCTGTTACATAGCCGTGGATAGCGTTTACCTTCTTCAGTTGTGCTCAACTTGATCTATTTTGCAGAGTGATTGTCCCACTTGTACCTGTTCATTTACAATAACGTCCCGATCCTCCCCTCCAGTCTTACCACGAGCCGGACTCTGAAGAGGAAGATGTCCGCTTGTCGTCTGAAATCGCGGCCGGGGCCTCCGTGACCTCTGGCCACGACGTCTCCCAGCCGGAGGAGGAGAATCAGTCGCCTGCGGAGGGGCTGGAGGGAGAGGAGAAGGAGGACCTGCCCGAGCAGCCTCCTCCAGTGGTAGAGAAACCTAAAGAGGGTAAGATGACTCAAATTCTGGCTCAAGTAAACGATAACAATAAGATGCGTCTTATTGTTTTATTGAATGTTTTGAATCTCATGTATGTGTCTTAAAATGTCTGTGAGCTGGCATACTTTCTGGTAGCACACCTACTTTTGAGCGTTGTAGTTTCTCCGTCCACTCAAAGCCAGAGATGGACACAGTGGTGGATTAGCTAGAAACACCGGCTGCAGCAGCATTCCGTTGCCCCTAAAACACCACGATCATGATGAATGACAGCTGGTTGTACCTGCTGTTTAGCCTGTAGGCCTTCGCATAGCTGGTTAACAGCGGTCTGTGGGCACCTTTCAATGCTGTGAGATGTCCAGTTTTGGCTTTGCAGTTTCAACAGCTGACAATTAAATTTCGTTTAGCTCTGCATGTGGAATGTTAGTGGTACGTTTACAGGGACCACTAGTCTGTTGTACTTACAGTCTTATGATATTTAAGCTCTTGTATAAGCACTCATGGCCCGGAGCAGTGATAGTCTGTCAGTGGCTTTACTGACTCCCGAATAACACGAGCGCTTCACTCCGTCATCAGTCACTTCTGTTTTGGAGAATGAAGACTGTCCAAAACAAGTTAATGTGTTTTCAATACTGTTGAGTCTGAGCAGAGACGTTTGTGGTTTCAGGCCAGCGCCACATTGGATAAACGGTTAAACCCTCTGAGAATTGATCATCTCGTTGCACCTGCGCCTCCTCTTGCAGCCGGTTACATCATTGTACTTGGGGATTGTTTGTTATTTTCCTGCTGTCGTATTGCACGTATAACAGGTTTGCATGTGAGGTGACTTTTACTTTGAAAGGACTGTCATTAATGATGTACTGGTGGCAGCTCTGGCCTCTTTATTAAAAGTTTTAAGAGGGTCTGCTGGTTATAACCGATTTAGATTGGTCTGCACGCTTTCCAGTTTATCAAGATTAGCAATTTGCCTGAGAGGCATCCAAGCGTGTAAAAAAAAAAAAACAACAAAACAAAAAAAACGGAAATCCTCTTAAGATTTTCTGATTGAGCAAAAGGAATTGTTCAAATCACGCGTTTCATTCAGAACGGACACCTTTCACCCGAGGGTTGGTGCTTCTGGGCCATTCTAAAAACTCTCAAAAGTGAATATTTTAGAGTAATCTGTTAAAAGCTCCGCTCACAATGTTATAATGCATTACCTTTTATATCTTTCAAATGTTAGATGACTTTATTGTCAGTATCCAAACATTTTGTGGCCATTTCGTGAGTCAGAGGCAATCGCATTCTTACATCTCTGCTTACACGTGTGAGAAAAGCACCACAATCAGTCAGACCAAATGCTAGTTGGCATATTATTGCGTTTATATATTTGCCCAATGTCCTAATACACTTAAAGGGAAAGTGTGATCTATGTATTTACTAAACGCCCCTCCGCTCACTCCTCCCTTCCCAAGCCGGCCACTGACTGCACCACAACAATAAGATGCTCGCTTTGCTCGGAGGTTAAAGCTGTAACACAATAACACTACGCCAGGAGCTGCAGAGGTCGCCGGGCGGGTGACACAACCACATATTATCGTACAGCAGCTTGCGTAAACAGCAGTTTCACAGGTGTGTGTGGAGCGCTGTATTGCCCTTCAGGTGGTGACCGGCTAATTCTAAGCTAATGAAACACAATGATTCTCAGTTTACACAATATGAAAACCTAGTTATGAATAAAAAAAACATTCTGCTAATTATATCCCCCCCAAGTGCTGCATACTAGCCCTCTTACACTAACCATTATTCCAAAGAAATCACATTACAAACACTGCTGCCAAAGCGAATGGAAACATAAACCGGAGAGAAGACATCATGGCCAGTTCTGGATAGCATATTCATTTTGAAATCTTCAACTGTTTCACACCAGGAGATTTAATAACATAACTATATATTTACATACAGTTCCTGTGGTGAATGGAGGGACCGCCCATGGAGAACCCTGCATCTTCCCCTTCCTCTTCCAAGGGACGGAGTACCTGGACTGTACCACCGATGGACGGGGGGATGGACGACTGTGGTGCGCCACCATCTACGACTACGACCACGAGAAGAAGTGGGGCTTCTGTGAGAGTGAGTCTTCAATTTGACAGTGGAAGCAGATGTGACCCCCCCCCCTCCCCTGGCCCCCCATCTGCGGCAAACCTTTTTTTTTTTTTTTGTCTAGTGTTCCAGCTGCATGTTCTTATTGGCTTCTCCTCTCTCCCCTTCAGCGGAGGAGCAGGCACAGCAGAGGCTGCAGGCCGAGGAGGCTGAGGAGGAGTATCAGACTGTCCTGCGCTTGCTCAATGCCACCACCAGGAGGACCCAGAAGAAAGAGTCCGTGTCTTTTCTCCGATTTGTTTTCTTTTAAATATTAATATTTGGGCTTTGATGCAAATACTATTGCTTTGTTCGGGTCATTTTCACACGTGTCCGTCAGTCTGACTTCGCTCACCCTGGTTTATCCACACACACTCTCACAGATTGTACGAAAAGCTGCTGAAAGTAGCGGAGAAGGGCCACCAGAAAGCCATGGAGAAGGTGGCGTACGCCATGCTGTTTGGAGACTACATGAGCCAGAACGTGACCAAGGCCAAAGACATGTTTGATAAGCTCGCCATCGAGGGCTCGCCCAAAGCTCAGACGGTAAAGACCTCATCCACAATGTCAACATGTCGCTTAAGCAAAGTGCAGAGAGCCTTTTGTCGTGTGAGATCGTTTATTGTTATTATGTAATGCTCGGATAATCGGTTGTGTAACACTGCTTGCTCCGTTTGCTTCTTCACAGGCTCTTGGCTTTCTGTACGCAGCAGGACTCGGCGTTAACTCGAGTCAGGCTAAGGTACTTCTTTATATTCTGTATGACTGTGGTCTCATGTCTGGCCCGTTTTTTACAGCAATTGTTCACCTCCCGTGTGCATCCTCTTCTCATCAGGCGCTGGTTTACTACACCTTCGGGGCACTGGGTGGAAACTTGGTTGCTCACATGGTCCTGGTGAGTCGATTTGTTAGTGGAACAATTTTCAATCCCGTTTATTTCTTAACGTTCATTCAAAAGAAGAGGTTTCCTCCCATTGTTTATTTAGGGATACAGATACTGGGGAGGTGTGGGTGTTCCCCAGAGCTGCGAGTCGGCACTGACGCACTACAGACTCGTTGCGAATCAAGGTGGGCATTTAAAAAAAACAAATATTCAAGTTGATGAAGTGATACTCAAGTTGTCGGGCAAATGACCGGATGAGATCTGCTCCGCAGTGGCCAACGACGTGTCGCTGACCGGCGGCTCGGCGGTGCAGAGGATCCGGCTGCTGGATGAGGTGGAGAACCCGGGGTCCACCAGCGGGATGCTGGAGGAGGACTTGATCCAGTACTATCAGTTTCTGGCGGAGAAAGGAGATGTTCAAGCGCAGGTAAACACAAAGAATGACCAACAGACGGCCGCCGGCCGCCGCACATGGAGCTCATTGTGCTGCCTTTTGTGACTGCGAGCGAGTACGATCTGTTTGTGTTACACAGCCGGTTGTGACTTGGTTAAAAGCGCGTCTTCTGACTTTGTTCAGGGAGCGAGAGAAAGACGAAGCACCAGCTGTCAGTGGTTTCGTTTTTCTGTGATTGGTCCAACGCTTTTGTATGCAAATATCAAAATCTGCAATTTATGAATCCTATGTAGGCTATTGTAATTATGACATAATAAACTAAATGTTGATGTGAAGTGTTGCTTTCGCTGACAGGTGGGATTGGGCCAGCTGCATCTGCACGGAGGACGTGGAGTCGAACAGAATCACCAGGTGAGCTTGTTTATGCCGAGATGGATTCTGAGGCTTTTCTCTTGTTTATGCACCATTTTTAAATGTGTTATTTGGCTCCTTTCCAACAGAGGGCGTACGACTACTTCACTCAGGCTGCGAATGCAGGGAATACTCACGCTATGGCGTTCCTCGGCAAGGTGGGTGAGACCCTTTTCGTGGCGTTTCATGTGTTTTGAAACATAAGTCAAACATAATTTGGTTCTTTTTCTCACTGACGAGGCTGCTGGACCTTTTTATCCATTAAAATCTGTTTGTAAACATCATAAATACGTCGAGCACGCTGTGGACACTTGGAGGCAGTCAGCGAGTTGGAGGATTGAGAGTTGTTCGAATCCAAAATAAATCAGGCCAATCTCTTTTTGGCATTACTGTGGCAACCGAGGGCATTTATAATTTAGGCGGTATGTCAAGTTTTTTTTTTAAAGAAAAGCCTTTCTGTTCCTTTTAGATGTACTCTGAAGGCAGCGAGTATCTCCCTCAGAACAACGACACGGCCCTGCAGTACTTTAAGAAGGCCTCCGACTTGGTAAGAACGATGCTGCAGCCACATGAACGGTTATTTCTATCTGAACTGTGTGATTTACCTTCTTACGGGTTGTCTGATCATTCATCAAACCACCTATTCATGGAGAGAAAGCAGAAAGTCGTCACACCTCCCAAGAGGAAGAGCTGTTACTCTACACACTTACCTCATCTGACCTGATTTTTATGCCATTAAGTGCTTCAATGCAGATCTTTCAATATGCATGCGTTTTCTTTTTTAAATCCAGGGCAATCCAGTGGGACAGAGTGGCCTGGGCATGGCCTACCTATATGGGAGAGGTGTCCCAGTGGTAAGAAAACCTTTTACACATTTTAATCCCTCCATTTAACACTTTCTTTCAGCTTGTCTTCTAAAGCAAATCTGTCAGCTTCAGGTGGGAATAATGTTCTAAAAGGTGTTTGTGTGCCACCTACCAGAGTGAAATCACAGCAGCCATTTGAAAGTTGTTTATTTGTGTGCGTTCAGAACTATGAGCTGGCACTGAAATACTTCCAGAAGGCCGCGGAGCAGGGCTGGGTGGACGGGCAACTCCAGCTGGGCACCATGTATTACAGTGAGTGGAGTGTGTGTCTGTGTGCATTATTTTTCGTATTCTTTTAGACTAGAATCCGCCTGTTCTCCTCTCCATTTGGTTTACTGCATTTCTTTCTCCTGGTCCCGTCCTTCCTCAGACGGCATCGGTGTGAAGCGCGATTACAAGCAGGCCCTCAAGTTCTTCAACCTGGCGTCCCAGGCGGGCCACATCCTGGCCTTCTACAACTTGGCCCAGATGCACGCTACTGGCACCGGAGTGATGCGCTCCTGCCACACCGCTGTGGAGGTGAAGCACCCCGGAAGCTGTTCTCTCCTTTTACTGTTACACATGTGTGTGTGTGTGTGTGTGTGTCTGTCTGTGTGTAACGCCCGTGTGTGTGTTTCTTGGCTGTGCAGCTTTTCAAGAACGTGTGCGAACGCGGCCGCTGGTCCGAGCGCCTCATGGCGGCCTACGGCAGCTTCAAGGAGGGCGAGTCCGATGCGGCGCTGGTCCAGTATCTGCTGCTGGCTGAGCAGGGCTACGAGGTGGCCCAGAGCAACGTGGCCTTCATTCTAGACCAGAGTAAGAAAGTAGTATTGTCAAGTGGGGAAAAACCCCCAAATCTATTGGCAAACTACCAATTTTGAGACCGGTGAAATTCTCTCTGACTTTTTTTTCATTGTCACCGACAGAAGGAGCGAGGATCATCACGGAGAACGAGACCTACCCTCGTGCTTTGCTCCACTGGACACGAGCTGCAGCACAAGGTGAGTCCACACACTCGTACGTCAATCACCTGGCCGCTCAAACTCGCCGGAGGAGCGCTGACGCGTGTGAATGATCGTTCCCAGGTTACACGGTGGCACGGATCAAACTAGGGGACTACCACTTCTACGGCCACGGGACGGACGTGGACTACGAGACGGCTGTGATCCACTACAGACTGGCATCGGAGCAGCAGCACAGCGCCCAGGCCATGTTTAACCTGGGTTACATGCACGAGAAAGGCCTGGGCATCAAACAGGTGGGCAGGCGTTACGCTGACTCCTCTTGATGCTTCACTTTTGGCCACATTGCTTTAGGAGCGCTGAGTGCAGTTGATGATAATTCATTGGACGGGTTTGTGGCTTCCTGTGGCGCTGCAGGACATCCATTTAGCCAAGCGTTTCTACGACATGGCGGCCGAAGCCAGTCCTGACGCCCAGGTTCCAGTGTTCTTGGCGCTGTGCAAGCTGGGTCTGGTCTACACTCTGCAGTACCTGCAGGATCTTAATGTGAGTAACCGCTCTTGCATCCCCGCGCTGGACCGGTGACAATTTAGCTATGAATTCAAATGAGTTGAAAGCTGCTTCATCAGTAGTAACTGAAGCGTTTCATGTGCTTCCTCCCCCCCGCCTGCCTTTCGGCTCCTTCCAGTTAAAGGAGGTGATTTCTCAGGTGGACATGGACCAGCTCCTCGGCCCGGAGTGGGACCTCTACCTCATGACCGTCATCGCCCTGCTGCTGGGCACGGTCATCGCCTACAGGCAGCGCCAGCACCAAATCATGGTCCCCCCTCGCCCGCCCGTCCCCGCCCCAGCGCCCCCACCCAGACCACCTCAGGAACAGTCGCAGCCCCAGGCTGAGCCCCAGGCCCAGGAGGAAACGCCGGCCCAGCAGCAGCAGCAGCAGGAGGAGAATGAGGAGGAGGAGCAGTGAGAGGCGGCCAGACGGAGCGAGGGCAGTGAAAGACGGACAGGATGCTCTCCCCTCCCCTCCCTCCCCCCCCCCCTCGCCCCACGCAGAGCAGCTCCCTCCCTCCGTCCGCTGAAAAGAAGGCCGAGGCGGCGGCTGCTGAACTGTGCAGCCTCACAATTCCCTTTCTCCATTTAACATGCGCTGGTTCACGGGCAGCGCCACGGAGCCCGGCGTTGAGAGGACAACACGGACTTGGGACTCGCTGGTCTGTGACTCGGGACGCTGCCGGAAGCAGCCGGGTCTTATGTTATGGAAAAAAAGAAAAAGAGCCTTGTGGTTTCCAGATCAAATGCAGACTAATCGACATAGTTGGGATCTAAAATGTGCGTTAGTTTCTTCTTAGTTCCCCTTTTGAGAACATCACACTCTGCCTCGATCTTCATTTAGCAAAGTATTTAGAAAAATAACAGGCAGGAAAATGTGAATTTGAATAGTTTTATTTCCCAGTTGGTTTAAAAAAAAAAAAAAAGTCATGATTTTGCATGTTTTCTCTCATTTTTACTTTAATTTTAGGGACCTCCCCTTTTCACATAATTGACTGAACAAATTTCACATTCATTGTTGAATTAATTGGTTCCTTGTTTGGTTGTCTGTGCTTTTTCACACGTAAATGGTTCACGCTCATTGAACATAGAATTGCAGAAGCGCTCGAGCCGCGTCATGTCGTCGGTACGAGAACAGGACGCCTGTAACGCTCGCTGTCCAGGTGTTGGTTCCGTTTTCCACACAAAGGACGATCAGCTGGTGAGATCAAAGTCACCCATGCACATCCTTTTCTTTCAAATCATACAGAGGCTTCAATTCTTTCTCTCCGAGCGCGCAGCTTTTACAAGGGATGTCGTTTTAAGACAGGAAGCGCTTCCTTCAACGGGCTTCGGTTTCATTCCGATGCTCTGCCGCCTCTTTTTTTTTAGTTGATTAAGCCGCCAGATAGTGGAGCAGCCTTAAAGATGGCAGCGCCTCAAATTCTGGATTGTTTCTACATTACAGGATATGTGTGTGTTTGGTTACACAACTTCAACCTCACCAAAAGTCCACGTTGTTGCTCTGCCGCCACTTTTCAGCTGGCTTGGACCTGAACCTGGGAAATGAAGCTGTGGTTGAACGGTATTCATCAGAACGTTGTTTCTATTTGACGTTCGTTTGTTCCGTTCCACCGAACGCGCTCGTTGTTCCCGTCGCCTGCATGAAGTGTTTGAAGTCAAAAAGGACGATGACGAGCGGCTCCACACGTGCGTTCACACATCAACTCGCTATTTGTCTAAAAAAAAAAATGAAACACTGGTCAAGATTGTGGAGAAGACTGCATTTTTACCATCGCAAATACAAGTTTATAAAGAAATTAATAAATGATATATGGATATTTAGTGGTTGTGTTGAATGTTTTCTTCATTGTTATGGTGTTGGGTTTATTTCTAAATTGCAAACCCGGTGAAAACGTGAACTCGTGTTATTGTTATGAGGTATTGTGTTGCTGACATTGGACCTGCTGGTCGTCACTCCACTTTAGAGCGGCGGGGGGACGGGGGGGGGGGACACACAAAGTGACCGAGCTGTAAAGCCGACCATCACATTGTCCAGGGGCGACCCGTTGACCGGCCCGTACGCGCTTCTATGGAGCGGCTTTGGATCGCCGTGGCAACATGTGTGCTCGCGTCCGCCTCTGTCAAAGGTAAGTGCTGCAGCAAGCAGCCGCCCGGCCGAGGGCCTCAAACGGGGAGCAAATCATGTGATGAAATAATGTGTGTGAATGAGGAGTAAGCAAACGTTTTAAAAGGTCAATTATTTTTGCCGAAAGATTATTTATTCTGAAATCGAAAAGTTTCAGATGGACACTTTGGAAATGATCCTTCTCTTCGAGCCAACGACTGGTGGGGGGAGTATGAGGAGGGGATACGGCACTACAGCAAGGAGGCCCTCAGCAAGGTACTGGACAATGTCGATTTGTGAGAAGCAAGATTATATGAAAAGTCATTTGTTTAAAATAACTGGTAGAATTCGGACAAAAGATGAAATCCTCAAACGGTGAGTTTCTGTCTCAGGAGTTTCCAGAGAAAACTCGACCGGCGAGCTTCAATCAGCCCGTGTTTCAGTGTCCGGACATGAGTCCTTCTTCCTCTGTGCCCTCCTCAGGTCGGTCGAGGTCACATCTGAATAACTGTGAGCCGAGAGACGGAACCGTAGAATAATGTTTCCTCTTTCCTTTCACCCGTTTGGCGTGCAGTGGAATTTGTGAAGGCCGCAGACATCAAAGTCATCGCTGCTTTGGGGGATTCGCTGACTGTAGGTTTTTATTTTTTCTTCTTCTGTAGTGGCAACAGTGTCAATGATTTACTGTGCAGTTAAAATCAAGATGATTAAATGGTTATTTGGGCTTTTGAAGACAAAAAAAGTCTATTTACAAAGATACAAAACCTCTTAATGCGGCGGTTGTCGCATTTCAATAAATATTCCGATCTTCAAAAAAAGCAAGTCAACAAAAGTCCTTATTTAGTTCCTGAACATATTTTTCCCGGGTTTGTTCCTTTACAGACGGCGATCGGCGCCAACGCCACCACCGTCCTCGGGATCCCCATCGAGTTCCGTCACGTATCGTGGAGGTGATGCAGCTTGTGTGATAATAACCTTATTGTGGGGGCGGTAATAACCTGTATTGTGGGGGCGGTAATAACCTTATTGTAGAGCGGTAATAACCTTATTGTAGAGCGGTAATAACCTGTATTGTGGGGGCGGTAATAACCCTTATTGTGGGGGCGGTAATAACCCTTATTGTGGGGGCGGTAATAACCTTATTGTAGAGCGGTAATAACCCTTATTGTAGAGCGGTAATAACCCTTATTGTAGAGCGGTAATAACCCTTATTGTGGGGGCAGTAATAACCTTATTGTAGAGCGGTAATAACCTGTATTGTGGGGGCGGTAATAACCTGTATTGTGGGGGCGGTAATAACCTGTATTGTGGGGGCGGTAATAACCTGTATTGTGGGGGCGGTAATAACCTTTATTGTAGAGCGGTAATAACCTGTATTGTGGGGGCGGTAATAACCTGTATTGTGGGGGCGGTAATAACCTTATTGTAGAGCGGTAATAACCTGTATTGTGGGGGCGGTAATAACCTGTAATGTGGGGGCGGTAATAACCTTTATTGTGGGGGCGGTAATAACCTTATTGTAGAGCGGTAATAACCTGTAATGTGGGGGCGGTAATAACCTTTATTGTAGAGCGGTAATAACCTTTATTGTCGCCACATATAACTTAATATTTATGGCCATACTATTTTTTTACATTGTTTCAAAATGATGTCTTTAAACAAGTTTTTTTTATGTGGAATTAAGGTTTAGGGTTAGTGTGTGTGGAATGTGCAATTTTAATCAATTAATATGAATATCAACTAAATATACACAAACACACATGGCACTAATTTGACATCTCTTGGTCCGGCAGCATCGGAGGTTTTGGCTCATATCAGCACGTCATTACTTTGGCAAGTAAGATGTTTCACTCACAGACGATATCTTGGATAACTTAATTTTGCACGTGTTCCGTACCAGCTTCACTCCGCTGCTTCTTTTCCAAACTGTGATTTTGTTTTGGGTTTTTTTTTTTTTTTAGACATCCTCAAGCTGTTCAACCCCCATCTGCTCGGTGCTGCTCCCGGCAAGACGGTCCACGGCATGCAGGCCCACATCAGCGAAACGGGCTTCAACCTGGCTGTGACTGGACACAACACCTTGTAATGACTCGACGGGGGTCACGCGAGACGCTTTGTGTGTCATCACCGCTTCATTATGACGACTCTAAAGCGTTGTGTTGTCTTTCCAGCAACCTCCCGGGCCAGACGAGGCATTTGATCGACACGCTGAGAGGTTATCAGGTACAGTCATGTGGTTATTGAAGATGCACACTGACATGTGCTGCTTTGAGACGCTGTTCCTACGCACCAAAATCTTTCCCTAGGGTCTGAACTTTGAGAAGGACTGGAAGCTTCTGACCATCCTCATGGGCATGAACGACATCTGCGATTACTGCAAGGATAAGGTCTGACTTTTTGTTCTCCGTGCAATAAAACTTCTCACTTTGCCAAATACGTCATTGGTGTCTGTGTTCTCTGTAGGCCCTGTTTTCAGTGGATAACTTCATTCACTACATCACCATCTCCTTGGAAATGCTCATGAACGAGGTGCAGTGAAAGCAGATTAAGAGCATTTGGTCCGAGTGAGTTTTTAGTGGGGGGGCGGCGGCGGCGTTGGAATTCACCTCCTCCGTGTTGTGCTTCAGGTTCCTCGCATGATCGTTAACGTCGTTCAGATACTTCCCATGCAGACTCTGAGGGAGGTGCAGAAGCCCACCCCGGGGTGCCTGCTCCAGAGGTGAGGCAACGTTACTTTGAAGGCTCCTCTCCTTCTTCCCTGATTCTTACGCCTGATGTGTGTGATTTTAGGTCCTTCTGCTCGTGCCTGATCGAGCCAGTCGCCAGGTCTCCAGAGCTCCAAGAGCTGGTAGAAGTCAATCGGGAGTTCCAGGTACAGTGAAACATCTCCATTTACAGAGCGTGGAACGTTTCTAAATAATCAAACGCTTTAATCAAACACGTAGGTGAAATGCTATGAATCCACAGAGAAGACTCGAGTTGCTGCTGTACAGCGATCGCTTCTTCAGGGACAACTTCGCCGTGGTTCTCCAGCCCTTTCTGGAGCACGCCGACCCTCCCCGCCTGCCGGTAAACCCGCCCTCGCCGCAGACGCGGGTAACCACGACAACAACAACGCGGCGGAGGTTTCAGGGGACGAATCGGTGTGTGAAGCGTTTGCTTTTTTTTTTTTTTTTTTTCCCCGAGCAGAACGGAAAGATCGACATGACCTTCTTCACTCACGACTGTTTCCACTTCACCATCAAGGGGCACGAGGAGCTGGCCAAGGGGCTGTGGAACAACATGGTGTGTCGCCAATGATCTGTCCGGAACGCGCTGTACATCGCAGGAGGGGGAACATTTAGGAGGCTGTCATTGTTAAAAAATCTTTTTCCTCAAACGACCAACTCTGCCCTCTGCTCACAGTTCCAGCCGGAGGGGAGGAAGGTGACCGTGAGCAGCTTCTCTGACCCCATCAGTCTCATCTGTCCACCAAAGGTTCGGCCTCCATCTTTCGGGAAATGTCCCCACCCCCCCACCCCCCCATCGTTCGCTTAACGCCCTGCGCGATGATGCTAACATGCCATGTTCTCCGCATCTCGTCCGTAGGAGCACCCGTATATCTTCACCCGACCGACAGCCGCCCGGTCCGGGCCGCCTCCGTCGCAGGGCGCCGTCTTCCTGCTGCTGCTGCTGCTGCTGCTGCTTCTTCTTGTTTTCGTGGGTTTCTGTTGAGGTGATGCAGTGGATTCGTCCTCAGAGACGTTGGAACCTGACACGTATGGATGGCGTCGCGCGCGCAGTGAAACTCTGGCTTGTTGCTCTTGGATTTAAGTTCTATTTGATTTCTGCAAATTGCAGGTTTTGTAAGCATGAAGTGACATTTATGTGACATTTATACATTAAACTAATCTGAAGTGTTTTCTTTAAAAAAAAAACCCGAACGTGTTACTATTCTTTATTTCAACTTTCCTGACCTTTACAAAGTTTGTTATGCTCTCTGAAGTCGAACTCCCTTTATAGAAATGTAACAACGCCGTTATGCAGAACATCCGATCGGCTCGGGGGGGAAAGAAAGATTCAAAGATGGAAAGGGATCTTGTCAAATGTCAATGTTGCCAGAAAGCCGTGACTTTTCCCGACCGGCTCGGCCCGCTTTCTCCTCTCTGTCCTCCGGGGACAAAGTAACCCACTGAACAAACACCCCGAGTGTGGATGCGCTCGCCGAGTGCACGGCGCACTGCGTATTGACTCTGTTCAATCAGCGAGGGCAGGTGGACGCTATATTAAACGCAGCTCAGGTTGCTTTGATTCAGCTCCTGAAAGGAAATGAAAACCGCTCTGCATGGGAGGCCTCATCTGGAGCCCGGCGGGACGGTCGTCGAGGTAAACACGTGTTGCGTAATGCGGGTAAAACCCATTTAGGCTTTGAATGGGAGATTTTAATGTGTTTATTTAGTGGGCATTTTCCTGGATGCAGAAACACTTTAGCATCAGAAATGAACACCACTTGTTTAACGTTTTCTCTCCGCTGATACAGATGATTCTCAATGATGTCATTGTGACCTTTTCTCAGTGAAAGGAAAACCGTCTTCAACCGTTTTTTCGCGGGAACAAACCTGGCGCTGACGCAAATGAGCCTTTATTGAGGGTCTGGGAGCACAATGAGGTCTTTGGGACCTGGTGGGCGGTGCGGTAGGAAATGAGTCGTGGGCTCGTGTACATTTGAGACAGAAGAGGGCAAACAATTTTATTAAGGACAGTTTTGTTGGTTGGTTGTATTTACAATGAGTTTGTTAATATATAGAGACACCTTCATATAATGACACTATAAAAGATTCTGCTTCATGTATTTTAGTTCATCACTGTCGGCCCTTTGGTGAATTTTCATTACAAGCTCAACCACTTTAAATGCTGGTAACACGTTACATTTTTTTTTTTATAGGCTTATTTATATTTCCACCTGAACAGGTTGAATCTGTCTCCAGAGTCTAGTTGTACATGAAAGGGACATTTCATCTATATGTTGCTGTCCTGCCAAGCAGTCAAAATAATCAATAGTATTGACAAGTCCCAATCAGAGTCCTGACACAAAATCAATTTCACTCAATTTTATCTATTTTCTTCTTTCCTCATTTCATTAAAGTAATCTATGCTTGAACAGTCAGTTCGGTGCTCGATGTTTTTCGTTTCGCTGCACCATCCTTTCCTGTGCAACACAAATAAGTTGATAGCAAAATGATACCAAATTGTGTGCATATTTTGTACCCTTATTATTGAAACATAATCTTCACTTTCAATCTACACATCTTTAATGATCCAACAATGAATCGACCAAACATCAGTACAGTGCATCACACCTTTATTAAGCATTTATTTATTGCTAAATAATGATTAACACATTATGTATCATGTTAGATTCAATTCTGATCCCATCTTGTCTTTTCCGATACATTTTAAGGGTTTTATGTTGCATTTTCTCGGCTTATGAATCCATTCAAGCCACCTGATCAGAGTAAGAACACAATAACAGCCATGACATCGAGACAATCATTTTTCAATAAACCGTCACCTAGCAACACATTCAGTCCGGACGGAGACATGCTGAGCAAATACAGAGCTTTGTCCCGCACGGGAGGACAACATAATGGGGACAGAGACACCAAACATATGCATCTGTATGCAAAATAACACACTTGCTTTGTCCGATCGAGGGGATTTTCCACTCATTCAAATGTATTTGTTACTATATTTGCGCCACTGGAGGACACACACACACACACACACACACACACACAGACAAAGACATGAAAAGTGGTCTTATGAACATCCAGCCCCCGAATCTACTCTAATGGCACACATCTGTTTGTACTACGCACGCCCTGACAACCATCGATCCAGGTACGCGAATGACAAAACGTGCCTGGGGATGATGTCACTTCCGGCCCCCACGTCTCCCCCATAAAGAGCGCGCGCCGAGAGAGGACGCAGGCTTCCTTTGGTCACCGCGAGGAAATCCAGCTCTCCAGAGACACCGAAAGGCGACTTGAGCTGAGTTTCGGGATGCGTCCTTGAATCCTCCGACTGACGTCACACCTTCCGATAAGCCGCCGCGCGCGCTTTCTGCCGCTGGAGAGCTTTGTTTTTGGATCGATCATGATCGCGAGGGGACTCTTCGTGTTGACGGTGCTGACCAACTGCGGTAAGGAAACGCTCCGGGAAGTTACTCAACGTGTGCGGGTTTGTTTTGGTGTGTTGGGGGGGGGGTAAACATCTGCAGTGGAGATGTGACCTCGCCGGGTTCAGCACCGCGGACAGCGACACGCGCGCCTTCAACTGCGGCAGAAGAGCGGATTCGCACGCGCGTTCTGGCACGTTCCCCCCCCCCCGCTGCTGCTGCTGCTTTTGGTGAAATTGAGAATAACATCTGCGGGGGTTGTGGGAATAAAAATGATGTCTTCTCTTGCAGTTCTGTCGCTGCCAGTGACTCCCGGTCAGCTGGAGAACGACGACGTGGAGGTAAAGCCGATCATCTGCACATCGACGTAGCGTCAGCGCGCTGTGACCGAACGCTTCCTCGTTGCAGTGATTCTAAATACTGATCACTGTCTTTGTGGCCACATTAGAATCATTAAAGCAGCCTTTGCCTCCAGGATTTGGTTTTGAGAAGTACTCAAACATCAACAACAACCACGTCATCATGTTTAATTAAAAAGATAATATTAAAAATCAGCAGGCGTGTGAGATCGGCTCAACGTTGGAAGCACAATGGAGTTGAAATGATTTTCTTTCCGTTCTTTAGAAGCGTAAGAGCAGCATTCAAAGAGAAGCGGATTCAGTTCCATTCTCGCCGGCTGCTGTGTCAATTTATTCCCTCACAGCTCTCAGCCAGGATTCTTTTTTCACCAGAATATACATAATTTATTCTGGGTATCTTGGCTTCCTAGTTTCCAGTCGTCATTCCAGTTATTATCAAAGTGGACATTAAAACCGCCACGTTATCGGAATGTGCCAAATCCAATTAAACGCGAGGTTGTTTGTCATTTCTTCTGTGCACTGTGTGCGTCTGCAGGTGATGAAATGCATCGTGGAGGCGCTCGCAGACGTGCTGTCGAGGCCCCAGCCCACGCCCGTCAGCGAGGAGTGTTTGGTCACGCTGAAGACGGGTGAGCCCTCCCTCCCCCCAAATTGCCCGTTACGTTTGAAATGAAATGCACTGACTTCCAAAGAAGGTGAGGTCACGAGCATCACCCCAATCACACAGCGTTTGTTACCCGGAGGAGTCCAACGATCGCACACTGATGTCATGATGTTTCTGCGCTCGCCGCGTCCAGCTCGCGGGTCAGCAGAAGGCCCGGCGCTCGCCGAGTCTCTCTGGGCCAAACGATTAATTGACCTGAAAGCACTAAATCTCAGGGCCATTAACTCTGAAGAAAGTCTGCTGAGTCCTTTGAAAAAGCCAAAAGGGGAAAAGACGCACCCGGAGTTGTGGCCTCGTTGTCTGTTCTCGTTTGGGCTCTAATCGGCTCGCGCTTGCCGCGTGTCCCTGTTTCACGCAGACGACCGGCTGGTTTCCGTCCTTCGCCGTCACAACTTTCTGAAGTTGCTGCAGGACATCGCTGTTCAAGGTGATTCCCGGGTCCGTGGGTGCTGTTTACGTGTGTGTGAAGAGAGAGAAGCCTGACGCACTGGTTTTTTGATTGCAGGTCATCAGGAGCGAAGCGCCGCTACGCCAGAACCAACCGCACCAACGCCTCAGGCTGCAGAGGACGAGGCGGGTGAGTTTCTGTTTGTTCCATATCGCTTTCAAAGCTTTGAAACGCCCCAGCTGTCAAAATGAGGTTTTGCTTTCATTACTTCGTATCGTCAGCACGGGAGATTAAACTCTGCTGATGGACAGAATCAGGGAATAAACAGTTCAAAAACGTTGTTAGTTCAATTTGTTCGACCTAATATTACATATACCCAAAGATTAAGTCTCCAAGTTTCTTGATTGACCAATATATAATAACATTGTACGATTTATTTGAGAGGCTGGAACTGAATTGAACTGAATCAAATGTTTTTTCTACTCAGTTCATTTAATAATCATCCAATTGGTTCGGTTGTAATAAAAGTACCTCCTTTCTGTTGAGATAATATTGATCTTGACACGTTGACGCTCCAGTGAGGGACAAACGCATGTAAACATCACGTGATGCACAGTTGTGGCGTAGAATCTGACATGCTGACCCGCTCCCACTTAGCAAAAACACGCCGTTTCAGTGAAAAAAATAAACGACCAGCAGCACTAAGCTGTGGTGCTTTTGTGTGAGCACCTTCGTTTCACATCAACATCAACGCAAAACGATGTCCTCGTAAATAAAATTCCCTCCCGGCCTCCAGATCGATCCATGCTGGAAGCTTTAGGAGGCCCAGGAGAACGATCCATCCTGTCCCAGAAGGAGGGCAAAGAAGAAAAGGATGACAGCGTGGGAGACGGCGAGTCACGAGACGCCACCGAGGAGGCGAAAGAGGAGGAGCAGCGAGACGAGAGTCCAGGGAGCCGCGGGTCCACGTCCGTGGGCGAGGACAGTGAGGACGAGGCCGAGAAGAGGGAGGAAGAGGGAGATCATGAGGAGAAGAGAGTTCATTTAGAGGATGAACACATGATCAAGGATAAGAAAGGCAAGTAGAGGCCGCGTTTTCCTCACGCAGGACTTCTGTTGATCCCAATTAATCTCAGTAACAAACAAAAAGGGAAAACAAAAGGAGAAAGAAACCAATTACGTGACAGGACAGCATGCATGTTAAATATATTCTTATTCAAGAAATGAATGACATCCGAGCCGATTTCAAATATGTAATAAAGCATACGGCTGAATTCTAAGATTCGGAGGTTGCAACGCTTTGTAGATCAAATCTCCTGCCGCCACGGGACGGGCTGATTGATGGAAGTGCTTCCATCTACATGATGAAATCAGACCCCCCCCCTCCAGGCCCATGGCTGGCTCAGCGACAGCTCACCAACAGAAATGATTAAACGTCTCAATGCTCCTGAATTCGAATGAGCTGGAGTGCACGATGGCAGCTGTCTTTAGATCAAGACCGCAATCAAGATTCTGCTTTTTTTGACGGAGCGGCCCTCAGATGTCAGAGAACTATGAAATACTTGTTCTGTAAAAGGGAGTCACGCTGGTAGTTCCCATAAAGCGCAGCTAGCAGCGTGCTGGCTGCACGGCTGCCAGCTGGCAACACATATTTCATTATAGGAAGTGGAAAATCTCGCTAATGGCGGAAAGTTTCTGGCTCGGTGGGTGTTTCAGTAAGAAAACATAAATATGCCATTCTTCATTTTCCACATTTCCCAGGTGCTCGGTCTGGTGAGGAGAGAGATGCACCCAGAATCAAATCCAAAGAGAAGAAGTCTGTCGAAGAAGGCGAGGAGGAGGAGGAGGAGGAGAAGGAGGAAGACAAGAGATCCGCATATTTCTCTCACGGCCCTAAACCAGAGGAGGAAGAGGAGGAAGGAGAGATGAAGAGAGACGGCCACGAGAGCCATAAGCGATGGACCAAGAGAGGGAAGTCGTCACCGGGGGGGAGGAAGAAGGCCGTCGGCGAGGAGGCGCCGCATCACTCAAAAGAGGTCGCAGAGGAAGAGGAGGAGGAGGAGAAGAAAGGAGCCACGCAGAGGAGTCCAGAGGAGAAGGAGCTGCGGATGATCGCCGGGGGGGGCCCCGAGGAGAGGAGGGGGTCGGAGGAGGAGGAGGGGAGCGCCAGCCGGAAGCCCGAGGTGTGCGCACACCACACAAGTGTCGCGACCTTCCCGCGGGTCAGATGAGAAGATCCCGACATGTCCCTCTGGTCACCTAACGCTCGTCAACAAAGCAATCACGCGTGTTTCCCGACGTTCATGCGTTACGTTATTTATAACGAACAGGTTCCTGTGTTTGTACTTAAATAATGAGGCCGAATCCCTCCTGCAGCCTGAAACCGGCAGAGAGAGAAAACAATGCTGCTCGTTCATGTGCAGGTATGTGATTGACTCATAAGTATATCTTCTGCTCTCGTTATGTCTGCAGGAGCCGGGGATTGAAAGCCTGGCAGCCATCGAGTCGGAGCTCGAAAACGTTGCCCAGAAGCTCCATGAGATGCGGCGAGGATAGAAGAGAGAGAAAGAGAGAGATTGCTAGAAGAAGTGGACGCTGCAGTCTCCTCCGCCTCACCAGCCGCCCCGTGTCCACCGCTGAAGCGTTTCCGATATTTATCCTTCTCCAGAGAACGACCGCCGCGCTGCAGCTTCCCTTGGGACGTCGTGTCCTTCAACCAGATCAGCATACAGTACATGCACATTGCAGCTAAACAACACACCACAAAAGACACACACCAGCAAGGTGGAGTTGCACCGTAACGGCACGTATTCTCGTACCGAGCTACTAATGGGATGCTTACTTATGGGGGAGCGGTAGACAAAGACGTAGACGCTTGATTATTATAGATACACTTAATCCAGTGCAATAAGTCAACATTTTTAGCAGATTTATGACGTGTGATTCATTTATGTAAGAAAATCAATACATTTAATAGTTTAACTGGTTTTGGTAGATGATTTTAATGCCTCTGAAATGGAATGAATATTTGCAGAAGACCATTAATGCAATAAACTCTGCGTACTAACTACTTTACACCTGTGTACTCATCTTGATGGATGGACTGAAGTGGGGAAAGGTAGAAGCTTGGAATCCTTTTCCTCTCGGTATTTGAATGTGACGCTGAGAAGCGTGTTCCTGCGGTTCCTCGCTGTACGTCTGCACTCGCCGGTGTTTTGTGGGCGAGGAAGCGGAGAACGTGAATCATCACTCTGACACCGAACACTTATACGCAGCGCTCAGTTCTGGCATGAGCATTACATTATTAATCTGTTTGTGTTGTTGACAGTTTGTGCAGAGTCTGAAAGCAAAATGTAGAAAGCGCTCAAAGTTTAACGGAAAATGGGCTGAAGAGAAAATGAATGTTAAATGCATAATTTTTGTATATTAACATTGATTGATTGATATATAAAGGTGTGGGTGAGGCGCAAAGCACTGCTAAAGATTATTACTATTTAAAGGGGGTTTTGCATTTCCCATTCATTATGAACAAGAAGATTAATGGACTTGTAGTGTTGTTATTTGACTTGCAGACGTGTGATATTTCGAGGAAGCCATTATGCCGTATGATCAATACAACCCTGGATCATTTAAGTCCGTCCCCCTCTTAAGGTTTAAAAACTAACATTTTCTACAGACGAAATGAGCGGCACTAGGTGGCAACCTGAGACCACCTCCGTCCTTCAGTCATTCCTCTTTTACGAACTCAGCAAGCGAGATTTCCCTTTCGTGTCGTTCATTTCCATTCAGCGGAATGAAAGTTACAGCAAAGCAAGCAGGAAGGATCTGAACTGGCGTCCATCACATCCTCTTTCTGCTCAGCTGACGAATCAATCAGTTCTGTGCATTATTCATGTTGTTTGATGCAAGAACTGGTACATTTTTTAATCTTCTTTGTTTATTGAAGAAGGCATTACATCGTTGTTACATAAGCCTGAGTGGAAAGTGGGAAAACAAACCGACACATGTGTGTCACTCCCGTAGTGGAGTTAAATCATCTCCCCCGTTATAACTTCTGCTGCAGACATTTCCTTCCCTCTGTGAGAGATGTTTGTGTTAATTACTAATTAAAACCTTCCCTGGCTAAGAGGTCAGGGGTCAGCATGAACAATTACACCTGTTACAGTACATGGACCAAACAGACAAATCTTAGAACTCATGTTTGTATAAAAAATATAACATTTTATTCCAGCTACAAAGTGAAACATGTAACAGTTTTGTCACACTTCTCAATAAAATAGTAGAAAATACCGTCCACAGAAAACACACTATCGATACACTTGGAAGCACAGAACAAACGTGGCTTTTAAATTAACTTAAACTGTACAAATATTAAAAATATTTACACACCAACAACATAAAAAGGAATGAACTTACAATTCTTCCAGTCTTTTTTTTTCTTCTTCTATTTCTTAACAAAACAGACACTTCCTAAACCGCTTGGTTTCGTCCTTCTGACCTGAATCGCTTCAAATCCACACGCCGTTATTTTCTTTTTTTTTTTTCTCAGTGCCGTGGCGAAGCCCACTGTGGTGCGTATCTAACCTTAAACTCAGCTCGCTGCTCGGAAACTCTGACCTTTCCTCTACTCAGTCAGCAGGGGGGGGGGGGGCTGCTCAGCGGCGGAGACAAGGCCGGCATTCAGGCCCTTCGCTAACAGACACCAGCACACGCGTGTGCACACGCACACACTGGGACGCATTCAGCCCTGTTTGCACAGGGGAACACTGGCCTGCTGTGGTCTGCGCGCTACATCTACAGCTGCTTAGAGTTTCCAGGTCTGGTCTGGGCCCAGAAGGGGAGGGGGGGGGGGGGGGGTGTTAGACACTCCTTTGAGGAGGACGTCGAGGTTTAGATAAGGCTTAAAAAAAAAATGCATACAGTACAACGGACGGGTCTGTGAAAAAAGGGGATTTCAACCTGACAGGTTTGTCAAAAATAGAAGTTATAGTGCAGGAATCTCTCGGAGCTGCTGTGCAGCCCTCTGTCTGAGTCAACGTACAAAACACACAGACACTTAAATAAGTGTCTTGACTACTTTTGCAATAAGAAAATGACAAAATAAAACAATCAAAAAAAAAAAAAAACACATACATGCTGAGCTGCAAAATGAGATGTTCTGTTTTCAAGTCATAAGCTCTGGCTGCTCCTCCGGCGGCTCACGCCATGTCTCCCATCATCTTCTTGTAATACATGGACTCGAAGATGTCGTTCTCCCCGGGGCAGTTGTGGTGGCAGGCGCAGGACTTGATGAACATCATGTGCTTCTTCATCACCTGTCCGTCGGGGCACTTGAACTCCATGGGCAGGGTGGTCGTTCTGTGGGGGGTGCAGCAGCGGCCGTCCAGGCAGACGCCGCAGAACTTTGGCCTGTAGGACTTGGTGGTGGTGCAGCCGGAGATCTCAAACTTCATGGGCTTGGAGAGTCTGGGCGTGCGGATGCACTTTTTTCCCTTCTGTGTGGGGGGGAAACGAGGAGGGAAAAACCGGTTCATGAAGCGTTCCTTGGCTCGTTTTTAGTTTCTGCACCCGCGGAGTTGGCGGAGGTGAACAGACACTCACCCTGATGCTCTGCTCCAGCTGTGACTCGCAGGGTCGCACCATGCACAGCCGGGACTGTTTCTCCAGGCGGCACTCGCGGTTGTCGTTGGTGACCCTGGTGGAGACGCCGAGGCCGCAGGTCTTGGAGCAGGCGCTCCACTCAGTAGTCTGAACCAGGCAGTTCTCCCTCATCATGGAGGGGTCTGGGCCGTAGGTCTCCTCCTCTCTGTAGGCTACAAGCACACGGGCACAAACGCCGGATTAGAAAGCGCCGTCCGGAATTATTGCCTCCTGCCTCCTTTTGGGAAGACAAAACATGCCCCCCAAAAAAGAAAAAGGAGACCAACTCACCGGCCAGAGCCGAGCCCAGGAACGTGGGTTTGCTGGGGGAGTCACACTGCCACTCCTCGCAGCACTTCCCTGGCACCTTGACGAGCCTCGGCGCGGGGCAGTCGGGGCTCGGCAGCCGGACGGTCATGGCGCAGAACGGCACGCAGCCCACGGCTCCATCCAGGCAGGTGCACTGGTACTTGCAGCTGCTCTGGAAAGTCTCGCCGCTCTTGTAGACCATCCCTCCGAACACGCAGGTGGCTCCGTCTCGCACTGCGGGAGAGCGGAAAAGGTCACTCTGCTGTTCCACTCTTTCCCGAGGGGGGGGGGGGGGGGAAACAAAGCAAGCGGCGTTCCCGGCGGCTCACCTGTGCACACCCCGATGCGTCTGTTGATGGGGGCCCCGAAGTCACAGTGGAGGCCCTTGTGCGGGTCGCAGAGGTCTCTCTCGGTGCAAAGCTCGCCCATCTGCTTGGCGCACACCCTGCAGCAGCCGCAGCCGTCCAGCACCAGGCTCACCCCCGGGGGGCACTGGGGAGGGGCGGCGGGGCAGGAGCACTGGTTGCTGCACTCCTGTCCGGCGACCTGAACGCACACACACACACAAGCTTAGTCAGATACCTCCACAAGGTGTATAGAAGTTACTCATCTGCCCCCCGTGAATTGAAAGCTTCAGCTTCTGAGACCCGAGCAGAACGATGTCATTCTCAATGTGTTTGCACTTACCGTGTGTGAGAGCACGATGCACAGCAAAGGCAGCAAAATCACTTTCTTCGTTGCGGCAGACATGATTTCTTCCTCGCAGGAATGGGGTCTAGTTTTTCCTTAAGTCTGGTTGAGCAGGTATCCCTGTAGTCTCAGAGTTTCCGATCGAGTTGATCTCTTGTCCGGTGGAGTTTCTCTGCCGCTCCGGGTCTGCAGTCGTTCTTCCCGTCTGGGGTTAAAGCTAGAGCTTAGCTTGGGTAGAGGAGCTGATCTGAGTTGTGACTGCGGAGCCCGGCTGCCTTTATACCCGCTGGCCCCCTCGCGGCGCGTCACCAGGGGGCTGAATGGAGAGCCGGCCCTGGACAAACATGGACATGCTTGGCATTCTTTCCTCGCTTCCTGACCCCCACTCCAGACATCCCACATTCCTGCTGTCTGAAGGCAAGGCTCTGCTGCCGGGCCAAACAACACCGTCTCTCTCTCTCTCTCTCTCTCTCTCAGCTTTCATCTGGAACGGGAGGCTAAGTCTGGTTAGGAACCTGGGACCCCACACTGGGAATTCCTGAAGACTGACTTCACAGAGAGGCAGCCGGTTAACCTATAAATATTCATTTAAAATTAAAAAAAATTAAAAATAAAAAGGAAGAAGAAGAAGAAGCGCAAAATTCAGCGCAGTTCAGAATTGATGGGGAAAAAAAAGCTTTAAATGAAAGAAGAACAGGTTAAAAAAAAAAAAGACACCAGGTAGAATTTGATGAAGAAAAATCAACATGTGGTGATTAAACAGGATGATGATGATGATGAAGATGATGTGCTGCTCTGTGGCTGCAAAGGGGCTCAGACAGCCGCTGCTCCAGGTAATTAGCAGCCAGGAAGTTCCTCTGAGCCGGTTATCTAACAGGTAGCTCGGCCCCCCCGCTGTGAGCTTCTTGTAACTCTGTCTCCTGTACTCGTGCGGTTACGTCTGGGGCATTTTTGTGCACTGAAATCAGTGGCTCAACAGCAGCTTTTAGGCCCTAAATATTTAAACCGCATCACGGGCATGTTGTGATCTCTTTTGCATGAGTGGAACATTGTGTGTTATTCGCCTTCTTTAGCGTGTAGTAGGTTCTTTTGGTACATTGTGCTGTTGCTCCTGAAGTAACACACTATTATTCATACTAAGTGCCACATATATTGTTAATTTTGCAACCTTGCAGCCTATTCATGTTGTACCTGCTCTAGTGTTTTGTTTAAGGTGAACGAGATGTCCCTGGTGGTCTTTCCCCTGAGGTACCTGAATGTGTCACGGTACGCAGGGCAGATATTCTAATGCTCTCAGTCACTTCCAGTAATGGAGGTTTGTTGATTCGAGCTTCAAGCTGCTTTTCTTACTTCCTGAAAACGAAGGATTCCGTTGGAAAAGCAAAGCCGGGGGATTTTCTTTCCCCTTCGACCGGCCGCTTTGACTCGTGAACGTCGACTCAAGCGAAAGTGCAGCGCACAAAAAGACTACAAAGGCTACATGTTCCTGCCGGCCTTATTTTACTACATCAAACCCCAGAATGGAGGATTTCAGGAAAGAGACCAGACGGAGGTTTGTGTATTTCACCAGGCCAGACCCTTATGAAAGCTGCTCCTCCTCCAGCCAGCGAATGGGAAATGAAAAAACTCCCAGAGGAACCTGCAGCTGAAGGAATGTGAGTGAGGAGCCAGCAGACGGGGCTGTTACTACACAGGAAGTGCTTCCATATGAGGACCACTGCTCTTTTCCTAATATGGACATGTTCTTTCTCCACGCTGGCTCGGTACAGTAGGGACTCCTGCTAGAAAGGTCTGTGTGTGTTTGTGTGTTTGCGTGTTTGCGTGCGCGCTGTCAGTCCCGTCACTGCGGCCTCGGGGCCTAAAACCTCAACTCCGCCATATCTGAAGGAAGCAGCTTGACGGAGGAACGTGCTGCGGCCGCGCTGCAAAACAGCCCTCAAGCTCGGCGATGACATGTTTATCGCACGCGCAGAGCAACACCGTTTTCTGTCAGCTTGTTTATCAGGTTACTTTATCTTCACCTCACAGGCAATCACGTTCGAAACCATTTAAAGAGGAAACAATTTCTACTTTCCAACACATTAAAGCAACGGCAAACAAAGGAGTCGGTTACAGTGAATATAGACCTTTTTTTTCCTGTGCGGTTGGAGCGAGTCGCTGTTGCGCTGTCGGTTGTTGTTGGTTGTTGTCGTCTGACTGAGCGCCCGACGCTGAGATCTGCCCGACGCCACAGATCTGGAAATGAGGATGCATTGACAAAGGAAACATGTGTGTGTGTGGTAGGCCCAGATATGTCGAGGTTAAGTATAGAGCGAGATATTTGTTTAGGCGAGTGTCTGTGGGATAAAATCAGCACTGTAACTGTGGCGGTAACACAATGTCAGGGGAGCCTGTGCAGCTCAGTGTGTGTTGGCATCAGGGTTGTGATGTCAACACGTATGTGATGCGTGAACTCTGTTCAGCGAGATGCAGCATTTCCGACTTTCAGTAACCTGCATTAGACCACAAAACCTTCATCCACACTGGTTCCTCATGGTTCCTCATTCTGCACTCTCAAGGTCATGTGACCCGTGTAGTTATTGCAGCTCGGAGGCCTTCTGTCCCGGTCTGGATTTACGCACCCACGACGGCCTCACACCTCCCTGCTGGTTTCGTAGCTACCGTGTGACATCGCCGGGGCCGGTGACTCGGGCTGGCTGAAGAGTCCCCCGGGGGGCTCAGGACGCGGGGACGGCGACGGACTCGGTGTCTGACCAGGCTGAACTCTCAAATACCCACATCAGGCCCCCCCCCGGTGACGGCACTTTCCCTGTTTACTCACAGTCAGGCGCGGAAAGGGGATGTTATCCCCCGTGTCCTTTGCCGCCTCATGTGTGCGCCTTTCCGTCACCGTCATTGGTGACGTCATGGCTGGCGATGATGTCACGGAGGGCGATGATGTCACGGAGGACCCGTCTTTCGGGTGTCTCGCACACTGCTGCTCTGCTCATTTCTCCCCTGCACTGTCGCAGTGGAAGAGAAACGAGGTCGATCGGTAGCTCCGAACCCGCTGAGCCGAGCCGCATTGAATGTCATGTTTAATCTTTCTTTAACTTAGCGGCTGTGTGCTTTTATTTATTTATTTATTAGGTAATACTAGTTTACAAATTTAGTCACAGTAACAATAAAACCCATAATCGTTCAAATATTCCCCTTTTTGTTCATTGAAACCTGTGGTGTTTTTTGGAGGTTGAACTTGAAGCTACATGAAAATATATACATTTCTATGTACAATAACACTGTATGTATGTGTAGGCAAACCCAGAGTGTTTTTCCCAAACCTGGTGGGTCTTTATTCACAGCTCCGGTTGTTCTATCGGCACTCAGCTGTCCATTAAACCAAATTCCATTAGCGGTGGCTGGCAGGCTATTCAAGGAATGTTCCTTGGCTTTAGCCTTCAAACCAACCATCTATACACCACTGTGTAAACCGAACATGAAACCCAAAGCTCAAAACGATTTTCCTTCCCTGTTTACTTCTGCCTCTTTGAACTCTCGCGCAGAGAGAAGGAGAAGCTGAAAACAGCACGATTTCAAACACGATGTTTGGCTCATTTGAGACACTCGCATCGACACTGACACACGTTCAGCGTGAGGGATGCAGACCAACGGAGCCGAACCGCCGCCAGCGAGGAGGATAAGTTCACAACATCGTCTGCAGCGCGGCTAATAAAGACGCGCTGGGAACGAGCCTGTCTGCTGAAACACTCACTGGGAACAGAAACGGATTAACGGACGGGACGGCGATCTGTCGAAGTTTTAACAATCGGGGAGGGAGATGAGAGGCATGGAAAGTTCTTTGAAGGCCGTCTGTGAAGAGACGAGCAGGGGGGGGAGCGGTAATGGATCTGCGGCCTGGGCTGATTGGTTGGATTTAACAATGGGGTTGGTGGGCAGATGAACTGTCAAGATGGAAACCGTGTCTATTTAAAGCCGTCGGTGGTGGAAAGTGTTCAGAATGGAAACATGCATGAGACTCAATCTTTTTCAGGCACCGCCAGGGAGAAATAGTTGGGTTTAGGGTTACTCGGGGTAATGGGCCGGGGTATAATATATTGACCGTTTGATGCCAGAGGGGCATTTTTGGACGGTGAACTGCATTTTTCGGTCAAATTATCTAATGAATCATTTAGTTCTGGACATTCAGGGGAAGGCATTAGCCAGGCTGTGTTAACATGGGAGGAGATATCGCTTTCATCTACCTTGGACAAAGCTTGGCAGAAGCTCACAGGTGGAAACTATCGCACTGGGGCCCATGGGAACATTTGTGCACATATAACAAGGGGGATTAATGGGCGGCTGACACGTCAAAGACAGAGAGGGAGAGAGAGTTTAAAGGCCCTTTTTTTTTTTTTAAACCTGTGTCTTGGAAAGTGTTTAGACTGGAGACGCTGATGAGAATTCGGGCTGTTACTCTTTCAACAAACAGCAGAAACTCATCTCAGCTGCGGATTCACTGCCACACACGTGGATGTGGAAGTCAGGCGGTCCGTGCTTAAACACAGCGCCGTGTGGGTCCGCCGTGGCCTCGGTTCTGTCTCGGCGACCTCTCAGCTGGAGGCCCGACGGCGTTTTCTATTCTCGGCATAATCTCCCCCCCTCCCCCCCACGGAGCGCTTCCTCCCACTAGAAGTTCGTACCGATGACCAGACGAGATCGGGCCGAGCCTTTAGGTCACGGAGAGCCTCTGACCCTAACGGCGGTCTTGCCCTCTGCCCTCGACTGCAGGGTCAGTTCTGCCACACACGGCGCTGCAGCTGCAGTGGAAGCGTTTCACTGCATTGAGAGCGACTGGTTGTTTAACTAATGGAGTGCATTAACATTTCGGGGGGAAATGTGCTAGTCACGAGGTAATAAATCGAGCGTAGCATAAAGACGGAAAGTGAGGGGAAACAGCCTGGTCGCTGTGATTGGACGTGGACATTTTGATGTGTCAAAGTCGATAACGTCTCCAAAGTATCAGAATCAGTCACGGCTGCAATTTTTTAAAATTTCAAAGTGACTTTCGTCCTCCAGCAACAACAGGGCAAATAATCTCGGACGGCTTTTGCAGTATTCTCAACTCTCCTCGTGGTTTGAGCCGGACCACATCCCCCACTTTCTTTCCACATTTTGAAATCCATGTAAACCGTGTTTGAATTGAAAGTCGGGGGTGAATGCAAATACATATTCTGCAGCTTTCTGAGACTGCCGCTTCCCTGCAGGAATGTCAGCTTCCCCCC